AGCACTAGGTTACTAACCTAAATAGCTAGCTATATACCAAAGGTATAAATAAATATAAAACCCTAAAAAAGGGCACGGATAAAAATATAAAGCTTTTAAAAAGTAGAATCTAAAATTACTATAATAGCAGGATTAGTTATATTAAATATATTTTTATTATATATTTCTTAATACCCTTTATTAAAAATAACTAGAAACTTGCCGGCAAATAAGCAAAGCTTATTAATAAGTATAAAAATAGTATAACATAAGTTATTTATGGACTAAACTTTTACTAGTATTTTATTAAAAGCCTTAGTAATATTCTCCGCGCGTTTATTAAATATTTTTTATATACTTATATATTTTTTTAAGCTCCTATTAGCGGGCAAGCATTATAAAATATTAATATTATTATATATATAAATTAAAATAAGCTTATACTTATTATTATTACTATAGCACCAAACACACGCTAACCCTAGACCCTAAAAAATATAATTATAATAAGGCTTATAAAGGTTTCCCTTGGGAAATACCACTAGTTTATTATTAGTAGTAAAAATTTACTAACTATTTATATTTTTTATTTTTTTACTATTTTAAAAAATTACCTTAACATATTTAAGGTATATTTAAAAGCTATTAGCCATTTATACTAGAAGTTATTTAAAAAAAAATAAAAAAAACTTACTTTTATTAAAAGGGCGGGGCTAGCTATAACAAAAGTAAAAAAAGTTAAAGCAAAAAAAATAAAACTAAAGGGGGTAACTATAAAGGGCGCGGCAGTACTAGCATTATTATTAATATTATTATTATTATTATTTAGGATGTTTTTATTTAAAATACTTAATAAGTAAAAAAAAAAATTAAAAAATATATTATTAGGCTTAAAAAGCCTGTAATAATTATATATATTATTTATAAGCTAATTAATAATAGCCCAGCGGGGAATAAAAAATAATAATAAAATAGGTTACTAGTTTTAATAAATTTTAAGTTAGCATGCTTTAATATTAATATACTATTATTAAAATACCTTTAAACAGGCTATTATAAATAAAAAAATACTTATTATTAAAGTAAAGCCCTGCATATAAATATAGGCTAAAAAAGGGATTATTTTTAAAATTAGTAAAATAAAAGGGTGTTATTTATAGTTAGCTATTTACTACTACTTAAAAAAAAGCCTTAAAAGCTTTATTTAAAATTATTTAGGGGACTTACCACCAGGGAAGTAACTAGGCAAGCTATTAAAAAAAAGTAATTTTTAAAAGTAAGGGGCCCTTAAGGTTTTATTTAAACCTTATTTTTTTAGTTTTTAGTAAAAAAAATTATTAACCATGCTTTTTTAATATTAATAAAGCGCAGCGCTGTACTAAAAAAAGAATAATTTTACTTAAGTATAATTAAAATAAAAAATAAGGTAAAGGGGTAAAATAAAAGCTAAAATAAAGTTATATAGTCTAGTTATATAAAAGTAATTTAAGATTTAAAGTTTTAAAAAAACTAAACTTAGGTTAAACTAATAAAAAAGCTATTTTTATAATCAGGCGCCTTTTTAAAAGTAAACAAGTAATAAGATATTTTAAATAAAGTATTAAATATTATTTAATGTCTTAAACCAAAAATAATAAATAATAAGAATAGTAATAATAAAAAACACTATTATATTATAATATAATAATAAGTTAGTATTATAAATTACTTATTTATTATTTTTTTAAAATAGCTAGCGCTAGATCGCGAATAATTTATTTTTTTAAAAGGGGAGGAATTATTAGGGCTAACATTAATCTAGGTTATATTATTAAATAATACCTAAGGCACCCAGGTTATGCCACCGCGAAGTATTAATATTACCTATATAAAATATTTTAGGCACTTATTTAGCTTAATAAACCTTATTATTATAAATTACTATATAAAACTTAATATAGCGTTAGATTTAATATAATATTAGGTTTAATATAATATTAGTTTTAACTAGGGACCTTAGCTTGGGGACCTTGGGCTTTAAGTATTATTTAAATAATAAAATAAAGGCATGCCTTATACTAAATTACCTTAATAACTAAAAAGTAGCTATAAAGGGCGCGGATATAAAAATATTTAAATACTACTTACTTCCTAAATAAAAATAGCTTAAAAAATTACTTAAAGGCCTTAGGCCTCCGGGCAAGGCCTATATAAAAAGGCTAAAGGCCATGGTGTATCTAGTTCTCCAAGCAATCCTTTTAGTTAAATTTATTAAGGTTCTAAATACTTCATTCTCATTGGTCGAAGATACTTTGCCAAGCTTTATCATTGTCAGTAGAGAACATCTGGGTGCTAGGGCGCCCTTACAGCTGCCATCTCTCAAGGGTTGAACGCCACCTCTAGTTGCCCCTTAGGACTGAATAATTGTTACTTCAGATGCTCTATTTATTGCCTAAGACCTTTAGCCTAAATCTGTGCGGACGTTCCTGTCAGTCTGAATCCGTATACGCTTGGTTGCGGTCCAAATCATGTCCAGCTTGTGAGCAAACAGGCAGTCGAGCCAAATAACCGCCTCCAAGTGCAGCCTCCAGAGGAGTAGCGAGTCTATTCCCAGCTCTTCAAATGCTGCGCGAAGTCGACTGTGAAGTGATTGTCTGTCCGCGGTATACTTCGCTTCCATAACGCCGACAGTAAGCAGCCAACGCGTCGGCTTCGGCTCGGCCGAGGTTTGATCGATAGCCTCCATTGCATTGCATAACCGCTGCAGATGCAAATCGGTCACGACGGGACTAATGACTGATTTTTGTCGAAACTCAGCAAGGTACAGTAGTGCTGCAGACCGGATGCAGGAACATATTGGCGAAGTCTCGTCCACGCCGTGTTCTGACAGAAGTTGGTAGGTAAGCGGATGAGTTAACTGGTCTACCTCTGTTGGGTTATGCCAGAAGGATGTGCCAGAAACAAATGTTCGAAGCGACAGATGTGCGTTGACCCATTTCAAAGCTCTCACGGCGGAGCTAAGGGGTGCAGGAAGGTTGGCATTTCTCAAGCAAGGAGGTAGATAAGGGCTCAAAACTATTGCCCTGGAGATCTTTTTTGGGGTAGCCCAAAACTGGAGCGATGTCAAAGGCATAGCAACCAATTGATTCCACCCTGCACAGGTTAGCGAAAAGCATGACCAGAAGCAGCGGTTATGTGCAGCACCCAGGATAGCCTGTCGTCAATCAAGGGAGAGTAGCAGGCCAAGGCCGCAACTGCGCTCAGCGTGCCATAAAATACTTGATTGTCATTTGCTAGTGAAGCACTCAGATGGTTTCGAACTCCTTCGAGAGCTTTGGTATGGTTCGTAAGTATGGAACACTGCAAGTTGTGCTCCGGCAAGTCATGGGAGACGTGGGTAGCGTATGTGGCAAGCATCTAGTCGAACGCAGCAGGGTTGGTCATGCATAGGGAATACCAACGGTCTCGATAAATACGAAACTTGCTTGAAGTCGTATCCGAGAACACTGAAGCCTGGTTAGAAAATGTCCAAAGAGAGATGCCTCAAAAGCCACATACTATGTTGGAGCACCCTTTGCGATCCCACATTCAGAGTGACGGGGAGAACTACAGACGGTAAGATAGAGGCTGGGACATATAGTTGATATTGACAGGTTCTGAGAACGAGATGGAGTCTCAACGCTTGGAGGAACATGGTCTCGAACATGTGGAGATGTGTCACTTAGATCACACGCCGTTTCAGGCTGAGAAACTGTGGAATGCTCCTTGCGACGGGTGTAACCGATCTCGCGCATGACTCGCTGCCGCATCTGCGATCGCTGCGTCTTGTTTGGACGGCGATGCATGGGAGAGGTGGTGATGGACACTCATTGTTCAGGTTGAGAATGAGTAGTTGGTGCCATGATGTCTTCGCTACATCTCGCCGATCCTTGAATGGAAGAAGTTGAACTTGACCGAAAGTTGGAGACGCGATGGATCGAAGAGTCTTGGATGGTTACATCATCCTCCCATGCTGCCCTTCCATACATGGATTGATTCATTTCGATATTCCCATCCTGACGGAAATACTAGGTCTTCCACCATTCCAGCAAGCTTCGAGCAGTGGCAGTCCACGTTTACATTGCTGTCGCTTGCTCCTTCCCGTTAGTCTTCAATTCATCCTATCACCAAAAGCCTTCGTGCTCGTCCATGGTCCTAGCTTCAACACCAAATCCTCCGAGTTCGTGCAGGCTGCATACACTAGGGCAATACCAAACGCCAGGGCAGAAAATCCTACAGAAGTCCACAAAGCAGCACGATATCCTGTCAACACATTATCTCCTTCATTCACCATTCCAGCCTCCACAGTTCCTGCAATCCCCAGCCCTATGGCAATTGAATGGTCGATGACGGTGTAGTGTAGCATCGCTCAAGATATCAATTTCCATGATGCCTGTTGACGTCTGCGCCTGCATCAAGTCAATCCGCTCGCAATCCATGGATATCTTTTTAGATCTGAACGTTTAAAATGCCATCTATGAAGTGGGGCTTTCAGGGCACAGCTTGAACCTCGGCTCGAGAGACAAGCACCGTATCCTGGGTAGCGCTTCAGCTTCACTGGGCGAGCTTGGTGAGAACCAGGACAGTCAGCTAGAGACATAGAGTCTGTTTCTAGCTTCCGGTCAAGTTTGGGTCGGGGATAAGTTGTTCCTAGGGTAGTTGCAAAGAGAAAACGCGTCAAAGAATTTCTTGGACTATATCTTAGTCAAGATATATATTCCTTCAAGCTGATGTTTACCTCAAGTCCCAATGCTATTCGCAGATAGATACCCTTCTGTACGTTCTACAGCGGCGCCATAGACTATTTGAGACATATAGCAGTCGCTTTACCACACAATCTTGCGATACCATAGAACAGAGTACGAATATCTCGTGGTGATCATGATGAAGTCCCGGTCCCTCGGCGACATCCCCGGATCAATATTCTTCCCGCCACCATACAAAACAATTCCCTCCGATTGCGGACGTTTTTCTTGCCTAGCAGGAAACTCAAGATACTCGTAATGGCTGCTGCTAGGACTCTTCGCATAGGTCAATTGGTCCTTCTTCATGTTGTGCCGCATAGCCAGAGCTTACTGACAACTATGCGCAGGTCTCATCCCCGGTGACGGTATCGGACGGGAGGTCATCCCGGTAAGTGGGATTGGCAGACGAGCAAAAAGAGATACTAACCGTGCTTATATAGGCCGGTAGACGAATCCTCGAATCTCTCCCCGCTTCCCTGAACCTGAAGTTCAACTTTGTTGACCTCGATGCGGGTTACGACTGCTTCAAGCGCACCGGTTCCGCTCTGCCCGACAAGACCGTCGAGATCCTGAAGAAGGAGTGTGACGGTGCTCTGTTCGGAGCTGTCAGGTGAGCTTGACAATCTACCAAACCAGAACAAGTCTGATATTTGGTAGCTCTCCTTCCACCAAGGTCGCCGGTTACTCCTCCCCCATCGTTGCCCTCCGCAAGAAGCTCGACCTCTTCGCCAATGTCCGCCCCGTCAAGACCACCGCCGGAACCAGCGCCGGCAAGCCCATTGACCTCGTCATTGTCCGGGAGAACACTGAGGATCTATACGTGAAGGAGGAGAGCACCGAGCAGACCCCCAACGGCAAGGTCGCCCGCGCCATCAAGCAGATCTCCGAGCGCGCCTCGTCCCGTATTTCCACGATCGCCGGTGAGATTGCTCTGCGCCGCCAGAACATCCGCGACGGAGCCAACGCCTCTGGCATCCGCACCAAGCCCATGGTTACCATCACGCACAAGTCCAACGTCCTTTCCCAGACCGACGGTCTCTTCCGCGAGACCGCCCGCGCTGCCCTTGCCGCCCAGAAGTTCTCCTCCGTCGAGGTCGAGGAGCAGATTGTCGACTCTATGGTCTACAAGCTCTTCCGCCAGCCCGAGTACTACGATGTCATTGTTGCCCCTAACCTCTACGGTGATATCCTGTCTGATGGTGCTGCTGCTCTGGTTGGCAGCTTGGGTCTTGTGCCTAGCGCCAACGTCGGTGACAACTTCGCCATTGGTGAGCCCTGCCACGGCAGTGCCCCTGACATTGAGGGCAAGAACATCGCCAACCCCATTGCTACTCTGCGCAGCGTTGCTCTCATGCTTGAGTTCCTGGGCGAGGAGCAGGCTGCTGCTAAGATCTACGCCGCTGTTGACGGTAACCTCGATGAGGGCAAGTACCTGTCTCCCGACATGGGCGGCAAGGCTTCCACCACCGAGGTTCTCAACGATGTCCTCAAGAGACTGTAAAGTACGCGTATATAATGGATGGACATTATCTAGATGAATAAAAGTTGGTTACGACGCTACCATATCAGCACGGTCTATTGGAAACTCGAATTGAACCTGGTCGAGTGAACGATAGTAATCTAATTATATATACTTCTAAAAGTACCCGCGAGCTTGCAGGGCATCCACCTACTCAACATCTCCAGCAGACGGTTCTTCCTCCCAGTCAAACCTACCTCCATTCTCCTTCAGCTCTTTAGATTTATCCCCATGGCCGTCACTGGAATGAACCAAAGTAAACAGGACCACCAGATAGACCTCCCCGGAGGCGCGGTTCTTCAGTACATACCGCAGCGAATGCGTCTTCTCATCGATATAGTGCAACGCATTGATGTTGAAGCCAGGGAGCCGGAGGGTGAACTCTGCACAAAAGAAGGTCAGCTAGTCAGTTACCTTGAACTCAAAGCAACGGTTCCGCGGAGGATTTGAAACAGACAGTGGACAAGGCGCAGAAGGGAAGAAAAGAACGCACCATTAAAGTCCAAATACTGATTCCCAAAGTCCGCAAAATAAACCCGCCCCTCCTCAAACTCCCATTCTTTCCGCCTTTCCTCATTCTGGAAGTACCCCCGGCGCCCACTCACATCCGTAGGTACACCCTTCCCAGCCCTAACATCGACCCCCTCCTCCTCGCCCTCCTCAACAACAACCCCATGCACATCCGGCAGCTTACCCTTATCTCCAACCCTCAGTCTATTCCACGTCGCCAGCGCAGGGCTATACAGGTATGGTCTATCGGCATACGCATCGCCATCAAGCGTGGGGTCAATCGTCCACTGGACGAGCCGAAGCGCGGCGTTGAAGCCAGGCGGTAGCCTGTCGCGAATTGGACGGTCGAAGTCATTCCCGAAGACGAGGTCGTTGCCGTTGACGGGCCTCTTGAAGCTTATGCCGAATGAGATGGAGTATTGGTCTTTGGCGTGGTCCTGGTGCTTGAAGTAGGGGTTTGATGAGGGGGCGCCGTCGGGGAAGCCTGCGCATCGCAAGTTAGCATTGTCAGAGAACACCGGTTAAGTTGGGTCTAGAGGAGTGGGGGTAAGTTACCAGTGTAGTTCTGGATCCGGACAGCGAGATTCGTGGAAGCTTGCTCGTTGGAAATATGGAGTGTTTTGTCTTGGTTTACTGGGACTTCTTGGTGGGTTGCTGGGTCGTAGGAAGGTCCCGCCGTGACCTTGAGGCGGTATTGTGAGGCTTTTTCGGCCATGATAATGATCACAGTACTGAAATGCAAGACCCTGGTCAATAGAGAAGTCTAGGTCTATTGTACAGGGTCAATAATAAAGTCAAGTACAATTACCGCCCACATTTTCAAGGCCACCTTCGTAGAAGAGACGTCATAGATGCGATAAGATAACGCTAATGTTGCACATATCACGTGACTATACAGCTTTTCTCTGCTTTCCAGGACCCCTATTATTTGTTAGCTCAGCTACATTGTACAAAGGAGCTTGCTTCAAGCTGCACAACCTCGTGCAGTTGCCCATATTTCTCCTCTATTTCAAGCCATCATGATGATGTGACTACACAAATTCAGCCTACCTCCAGGCCTGGAACACAGGAATGAACACGAACAATCATTGCATTGTGATTCATGAAGTTGGTCACAGTGGCAAAGGCTACGGCGACCGATTTGGCAGTAGTTGATAGATTTGGGGATGGGCATTAAGATTGACATGCGCAACTATCGTAAGAATGAAGGACATCGCTACATTATGAAGACAAGAAAGTAGTGGTCTATGTTGACAAGATTGGACTGACAGAGAAGATGGCCAAGTACCCTTCAAAGATCGATAGGGTCAGAGGGAACCACGTCCACGTCGTCTTCAAGTTCATCCTCAGTGAGAACACCAATTCCGCTGTCAAGCCGCCTGCGGTGCTTGCCACGGCCGACCTCCACGTCCACAAACCGGGTCATACTGACCGGGGTGATGGGTTCACAGTCGAGACCCTTGTCGTCTGACTCTATCTCGTCCGATTTGAGCTCCCAATTTGCATCCCGCACCTTTGCCTTGCGACGCTCAGCGCCGACCGCGGCCTTCATCGAGGTGAATGCTCGTGTCTGCTCTGCGAACCATTTATCCAACAGACCATCCTTGGCTTCAACTTCTAGTCGCAGCTGCTCCTTGAGCCCGGCATTGTAGCGACTGAGCTTCTCGGCTTCCGATCTGGCTGCTTCCAATGCTGTATTTAGTTCACCAACTCGAACATTCATCAATCCCATCTCCTGCTCGTGTTCAGTGGCATTCTTTTCCAAGTTCTCGACTGCTTGTTGACGCTCGCGCTCAATGCTCTCAACCTTGGCAGTGAGGTCACAAACGCGGATTCTGTTCTGCTCAATCACTTCTTCTCGCTCGCGAATGAGATTCTCCATGTTCTCGATAGTTGATTGAGCTGCGTGACGGCTGTTTTCTTCCTCGGCGATCTTCTGCTTTAACTCCGATATCTGTTGGGTGTGAGTCTCGGCGCGCTCAGCGTTCTCGCTTTCTAGCTTGGTTATGATGTCCTCGACACGTGTGACCTCATCACGATACTTGTCCAATGCGACCTTCAATCTGTCATTGGTGACCACATGATCCTGCGCTTCGCGTTCGAGTTCCTGCATCCGCATCCTTGTGTGAAGCATATCCCCCGCAGAAGACGCGATTGACTCTTCAAGGTCCAGGATACTCTGCGACGCGGACTCATAGCGGACGAGAAGCATGTCGAACTGTCCTCTCAAAGCTTTTTCACGATCAGACGAGCCTTGATGGCGTGCCTGCTCCTCGTTGAGATTTTCGACTAACGTCTGAACTCGCTTCACAAGTGCGCCGAGAGTGGACATGCCGTCGCATAAGCCCACATTGGCTGTTTCTCCAGGGACTATCCGCTCCAACTCGAGACGAGCAGTGCGAAATCGGTTGCGTAGTTCGTCTACGCTCTCCTGGGCATTAGCACCTTGGAAGCCTAGGCTATAGAGTTCACTTTGGATATCACTCAAAGTCTGCGTGGCATCTGAAGCCCTGGCAAGCGTTTGCATTAAGCTAGGGACGATATCGTCGAGAAATCCCGCTGGAGGTGATCCTTCACGGAGGTGCCGTTCTAGGGCAGTTCCACCAAGCAAGTTCAGGCGAGAACGACACGATTCGAACAGATCTCTTTTTTCTTTCCGTGCTGCCTCCAGATCCTGAGAGATGGCGGTGAACTCCAGGTCCGTATCGCGTGAAGTTTGGACTGGAACGTCGACTGCTGGATGGCTTGGGCTGAGCGAAAACTCGTCTGGGTTTGCATAGGTGTCGGCTGCATGGAAAGTAGGTGAATCTGACATGAATACTGTGTCTCCTTCGAAGCCGCTATCATTGACTAGGATCGTGTCCACGGTACATGCATCGCTTTCGGATGGTGTAAGGTGGCGATAATTGTCCATGGCCGAAAAAGATAACTGCGCCCTCAGTCGATCGTTATCAGACTCTAGGTGTTCGATCCGATCTCCAGGTGCCATCCACTCTCCATTGTCGCTAGATAATTGACTCGTTGGAGTTTTCCCTCGCTTCACCATTTCGAGTTCCTGCTTCAAAGAATCTCTTTCGCGCAGCAATGTCTCAAGAGATTTCTCATTTTGGGCGGCTGTTCTCTTCTCGCGTTCAAGGTTGTTGATCTCGTCACTCAACCCTATGCGTCTGATCCTACGCTGGGTCCGCGTGTCCAGAAGCTGTCGCAAAGGCGTGAAATGCAGCACATTCTCTGGCGAAGTTGAAGCTCGCGGCATCGGACTGTCAGTGACCCGGCGAGACCGCGCGAGAGGAGTCGAGTGGCGACGTGAGGAGCGAGTTGGGGTGCGCTGTATAGCACTATCTCTATCCTTGAACGATGCCCGGCACAAGGCTGGGGTGAGGCCAGTCGAATCATCGGGGACACCTTGCGTTACAGGGCCAGCGTCCGAGAATCGCACTCTCTTATGCGGACGTGGAGTACGAATAGCACGGCCATCGCTGGGACCAGACTTGTCACGAGGGATAGGGCGCTGCTCGGTGGTTGAACCAGAGCTCTCACGTTTCTTTTTCCTGCTGCGGGTCTCCATGACTGAACTTGATTGTGGGATGGAGCGTAGATGAGTGCACGAGGAGGCAACCCCGGTAGATATGGACCGGGCAGGCCAGGCAACGAGGGGCTCCAGTCAACAGACACGCCTGACAGGTAACAACACGTCCACCAGGGCCGGAGGCGTTATTATGATCCGGTTCAGAATCCTTGCGCGTGGCAGTATGTTCACCCAATCGGGAAGGAGTAAACAAGGCAGCAGTCAGGTGACCCCTTGCCTAAGCTTCCACTGTCCAGGCAACCACCCGCTCGAGAGGTCCACCACCTATATTGAGGGTTATTATTGTGCATGTAAAACTGCGAGAAATTGCTATTCGGACCTACGTGTACATCGCGCTTGCTGTCCCCTAGGATATGATGCGAGGAGTGCAGCGGTATTGCATTGCGGCATTGTCCTGGGCTCTTTGAGACTTCGAGCCAAGCTTGCGTTTTTAGAGTTTTATATACAATATCTTTGTTTGTACAAGCATGTGAAACCGTCTATAAAGCATGCAAACAAGACAAAGAGATAGCAATTCGACTTCGAAGACGTTCTGGGCTCACATTGAGACGGTCGGTGGCTGCGATTTGCAAAATTGCAACCATAGACGGCCGGTGATGTCATGTGAGGGGAACCACTCACAGCTTGAGCTCTGGCTCTCCGATACACAACTTCGAGATAAATACGTCTTCACTTAGTCTGTCTCCCGATGTTGGAACTAACCCACTGGAGCCCCGATCTATCGGCTCATATTAGTCGATTGTCGCCGTCCGACACTGGTCGAATTCTGTCAACAGTTACTGGCTGACCTTTTCTATTTGTACCGCTCTTAGTCGCCCTCATGGCTGTTGCACTCATGGAGTGGCCACCGCCCCTTGGGCAGCCGGAAGATTCGTCGCATCAAGAAGAGAATGAAGAGCAGACTTCTTCCTTGACAGACCGAGACTATGTAACACTGCAGAACTTGAAGACGCCGCTCCTTCAACTACCTCCCGAGCTCCTGTTCGATATCCTCTCTTATCTCCCAGCACTCGATCTTGCTCGGGTCTCCGAATCATGCCGTGTGCTATCTCAACATGCGAACAATGACCTTCTCTGGGCGAACTTGGTCAATTCGAATCTTCCATATCCGATTCACGACCCTGGGATTTTCGACTCCTTCCGCACACTCTACATCACCCATTACCCATATTGGTTTATCCCGCGAAACAAGGTGTGGTTCTCGGATACAGAGCACACCGGCAATCTCATATTGGCCCGGTATGATAACCGGCGGGGAGTTATCGAGGCATACAGGGTGACTACAGAGAGGCGGTCATCAAAATTCCAGGTCTGGGAATGGAACCCTGATGTTGTGATTCAGGCATTCGAGCCTAAAGTGAGCCTGTGGCTTGATGATCCTATCCTTCTTCTGCAAAAGGCTCCAGACGGACGACGGAAGTATCTTGACTGTGAGAACCGAATGACGATGCCCGTCGAAGTCCAATACATTTACAACGCGATTTCTCTCTGCCGGCCGGCGGACCCCGAACGGCTCACCGAAGACACACAGTGGCCGCCGGCGAATATTCCTAGTGATCACCGCGTTTACCGCAATCCAGAAGTCCATTGGAAGGAATGGAACCGCGTGCCTCAACAATTGTCCCAAATATCAGAGTACGCCTTCCGAATCCGGCGATGGGCGCATTTCCGCTTGGGCTTGCCAATGTTCACCGCAGGACAGCAAGAAACCATGTCAACCTACAGCACTCTTGATCCAAGTCTGTACACCCCTACTAAAGAAAAGCCATACCAGGGGATCTGGGTAGGTGATTACTCCGCACACGGATGTGAATTCCTATTGTTCCTACAGCGGGACCAGGAAGGCGAGGATCAGGATGCCCGCGACCCAGAGAACGATGATATCATCCAGAGGGGAAGCCTAAAGGCCGTGAAGCTCACCGGTGATCCCAATGTCCCTCGAGGTCAATTCTCGTTCGTATCAGACGACATCGGGCCCGGCGGCACAGTCCGCATTGCAACCGAAGCCCTCTTCCACGGCGCAAGGGTGGTGCGTAGTAGAGGTCATGTTGCAGGGCTCGGCTTTAGAGATGGTACGCTCACCATGAGACACATTATTGAAGACGACTGCTGACCTTTCAGATACGTTTATAACATCCCAGCTTATCCTCGTATCGCCTGACTGCGTCGCCCACTACTGGGAGTCCATGGGCCACATCACATATTACCGTCGCTTGGACATTGACGGCCTCATCCGGACATGATACAATGAGCCTTTCTGGAGATATAGATAATGCTTGACGAACTCACGAGTAACGGAACGGGCTCGCTTTACTCATCTACCTCCTTATGGTCTATCAATGGTGTTCTTAGGTGTTTTGCTCCTTCTCGATCGTTCCAATACTGGTATACCATGGCGTTCTGACATGGCCGCTCTCTAATGTCTTATTTCGCATTACTCCGCTGTGTAATTAGAGTTAGATATGACGAAAGTCATCCTTACTTTTGGAAGAGTTGGAGTTATCGGTCTCGTCTTATCTTTAATGAATGCAATACATTACTTTATCATACCCGAGTTTTGGTTAGAGACACCGCTTCCTGCTTATAACTTCTCGCAACGCCAGGGATAAAGTATTTATGTGGACGCAAGCCAGGATATGTCATGTCATTGGAACAATTCCAGAAACACATCAAGCTCAACTCGATGGTATAACGTAAAGGTAAAGATAGTAGCATCCATAACGCCAATTTGCATATCACAGCACAGCATCAACAGCAACAACACGAATATCCACATGATGAGTGAAGAGGAACCGTCCTCAGCACCGACCAAGCACAGCCCTGGTCAGCAGTATCTCCAAAACAGATACAGTCCCCCCAACCCAATGTACCATCACACACCCCTCTCACCAAATGAACCTCTATAAAATCACCCTTCGCATTCCCAACCTCAAAAGGCGAATCACCGCTTCCTCTCAAAATAGCTCGTCGACCCAAGCACCGCAATCGACTGGTCCATAACCCACTCCCCAACGCCCAGGTAATTGTCAATCCACTTCTTGAAGTCCTTGTTATCGGTTACTTTGTCGGAATCGAGACTGGGGCTGGATTGACTCCCCGCGCTCCCTGCCTAGGGCGGGGGTGCGCGCGGGGTGGGGACGTTAGCTTCTTCCTTTGATCTTTGTTCTTGATGCGATACCACGCCGGGACGCGGGGTATCTCTGTGTGTGTGTGTGTATGCGCGGATGGACGGGGTATTTACGTGAGACCGGTTGAGCGTTTGACGCCTGCTAGGAAGGCGGAGACTGTTGGTGTGGCTCCGGTTAGCTGCTAGCTTCTTGCGATGGTAGGTGTTCGTGGGCAGGAGAGTAGACTTACAGAGCACAGCATCAAAGGCATAGTGAGTAAGGCGGCCGAGCTAGAGTGGACAAATCGATCAGTCACTCATCGGGTACTTGGGTAGGTTGTCGGAGTCAGTCGGAGGAGCCTGGTACGCACCACCATGTTGACGGTTGAGGGCTAGAGAATGTCCACGCCGGAAAAAGCAATATAGAGTAGTCGGTGCGATAAAGGATGAGATTTAGAGAGTTGAGCTTGTTCGGTGAGCCGGATATGGAGAATGCGAGCTCAGAGCTATTGATTGTTCAGTAGCCTTGTATCTGCTCCGCGGCGGATGCGGTGACGCTCACGTGGTGTCTGCTTATGACTGCGGGCAGGTGCTGGTGGCTGGGCTTCATGTGGCTGGTAACTACTACCTAACGTGAGGCTGACTTGACTGATACGCTAAGCCTATACAAGCGGACCAAAGCCGGGGATAGATTGTCCGATACGGAACCGGCATAAGGGTTACTCCGATCAAGATTATCATTGGCAAAATGACCGAGTCTTGTGGCAGACTGAAGAGGTTGAACGACGTTGATTGCGAGGCCAATCAGACACCAGAGATCGTAGGAGTGGGAGCCGTGATGACCGCAACAGGCTACAATTTTTACGGTGACATCGGTGGGATACACAACATACTGCGCTAGCTATCGATCTAGGCTCCCAAGGCTATGGGTGTGATCCGCTTCTAGTTTGCAGTTCTGGTAGCATATTATTATTGCTGGGCGGTGCATCCGGAAGAACCAATTCGCGAGTACGGAGATAGATCATCAGCTATGAATTCATGCCAATGCTTGGAGCTGTCTCCTGATGCTCTGTTTGACGTCAGGAAAAAGCAACCATAGATAAAACAGTATTGGAGCGAAACCGCAGCAACCGCTGCAGTTAGTAATGAATTTGCAATTAGAGTGACCACAGGAATAGTTCTGATAGATATCTACTACGTAGTCTGTTAGCGAGGCATGAATAATGGAAAATACTGGCCCACGGGGAACCGGCCGATAGAGACGAGACAGGGAAAGCCGCAGCAAAGCGGCCAACAGTATTTTCCCTCCCGGCCACACACCCCGACCGAGCCCCTCTCTCCCGCGCTCGCTCTCACCGGGAAGTCAACGCTTTTTTTCCCTTATCTCCTTCTTCTCCTCTCCCCAAAACCGCACCTCTCACTCACCTTTCTACACCCTTACCAGATTACACAGTAGGGAAGCTTTCAAAATGGCCGCTAGCTCCTCCCTCGACCACCTGTCCAACCGGATGAAGCTGGAGTGGCACTCCAAGCTGAACACCGAGATGGTGCCGGCAAAGAACTTCCGCCGCACCTCCATCATCTGTACCATCGGTATGCTTTGCGACTCGATCCACGAATCGCCAAAATTTAATTCGTTCGCCCCGACTGACGTCGCGCTCTTTAGGTCCCAAGACAAACTCCGTTGAGAAGATCAATGCCCTCCGCAGAGGTACGGCGACGCAATGACCACAGTCGTACTTGAGCTGACAACCTCTATAGCTGGTCTCAATGTCGTTCGCATGAACTTCTCTCACGGCTCATACGAGGTAATTGATTTCATGGCTTCAGAATCAAACTCCATCTGACCCACATAGTACCATCAATCCGTTATCGACCACGCTCGGGAAGCCGAAAAGCAGCAGGCTGGACGCCCCGTCGCCATTGCTCTTGACACTGTGAGTGCGGCTCATTCGGGACAGTCGCGTTGCAAATCTGACTGGAATTCAGAAAGGACCTGAGATCCGTACCGGAAACACCGTCGACGACAAGGACATTCCCATCAAGGCTGGCCATGAGATGAACATCACCACCGATGAGCAATATGCCACCGCCTCCGATGACCAGAACATGTAGGCTCCATGACCCGTTCATCGCATGAGTCCACGCGACTAACTTGGTGTCCGTAGGTACCTCGACTACAAGAACATCACCAAGGTGATCTCTGCCGGCAAGCTCATCTATGTTGATGACGGTATCCTGTCATTTGAGGTTCTCGAAGTTGTAGACGACAAGACTCTGCGCGTCCGATGCCTGAACAACGGCAACATCTCTTCCCGCAAGGGTGTCAACCTGCCTGGCACCGACGTAGACCTGCCCGCTCTTTCCGAGAAGGACATCAGCGATCTGAAGTTCGGTGTCAAGAACAAGGTCGACATGGTCTTTGCTTCTTTCATCCGCCGTGGTAGCGACATCCGCCACATCCGTGAGGTTCTCGGTGAAGAGGGCCGTGAAATCCAGATTATCGCCAAGATTGAGAACCAACAAGGTGTTAACAACTTTGACGAGATTCTGGAGGAGACCGATGGTGTCATGGTCGCCCGTGGTGACCTTGGTATCGAAATTCCCGCCCCTAAGGTGTTCATCGCCCAGAAGATGATGATCGCCAAGTGTAACATCAAGGGCAAGCCCGTCATCTGCGCCACCCAGATGCTCGAGTCCATGACATATAACCCCCGTCCCACTCGTGCTGAGGTGTCCGACGTCGCCAACGCTGTTCTCGATGGTGCTGACTGTGTCATGCTTTCTGGAGAGACCGCCAAGGGTAACTACCCTTGCGAGGCTGTGACCATGATGTCTGAGACCTGTCTCCTTGCCGAGGTTGCCATTCCTCACTTCAACGTTTTCGACGAGCTGCGCAACCTCGCTCCTCGTCCCACCGATACCGTTGAGTCCATTGCCATGGCTGCTGTCAGTGCCAGTCTGGAGCTGAACGCCGGCGCCATTGTCGTCCTCACCACCAGGTATGTAACCATCCGAAATCATCTTCAACATCGCTGACAATGTCGTAGTGGAAACACTGCCCGCATGATCTCCAAGTACCGCCCTGTCTGCCCCATCATCATGGTTTCTCGCAACCCTGTTGCTTCTAGGGTAAGTCTGATGGTGCTGATTCTTTGTGCGCGTCCACTAACTTGTCGCAGTATTCTCACCTGTACCGTGGCGTCTGGCCGTTCTACTTCCCCGAGAAGAAGCCCGACTTCAACGTCAAGATCTGGCAGGAGGACGTCGATCGCCGTCTCAAGTGGGGTATCAACCACGGTCTCAAGCTCGGCATCATCAACAAGGGCGACAACATCGTCTGTGTCCAGGGCTGGCGCGGTGGTATGGGCCACACCAACACCGTCCGTGTGGTCCCCGCCGAGGAGAACCTTGGTCTGTCTGAGTAAACTCATCCCAGGACATCGCCTTCCTCGACGGAAGGCACAGCGGTACCGATAGCGATCGAACAGTAGGAATCACTGTAAAATGGTCCGGTCCGCTTGGATTAGAGCACCCTGAGGTCTGCCGCAACGCCACAATCTGCCAAAGTGCGCGACCCGTGTTGACTCGTATCACTGCATTTGGTACCGCTTCGGCGATGAGCCGAAGGGTGCTCCTCATTCTCGTTGGGTGATTCGCCCTGATAAGAGAGGGCGAACGAACATAGCCTGTAATTTCGAATTCCTGACTTGGCGTTAGTTTAGCAAACCATCGTTAGTGGTTCTCATGATGCACGGTATAAAAGCTAGATAATGAATTCCTATTTCGCACGTCACTTGAAATCAGTAGCAGTTGACTCAATCGCCAGCCGTCAAACCACTGAGTAGTCGAGGGTACCTTAGGTAGGCAGATAGCTTGTGTAGGATAAGGTGTTCGCGCATCAAGTCCGCAAGCTCAAGGGCTCGCAAGATCGTCGGCGAAAGCGAGATCCTCTTGGTCCTTGAAAAAGGTAGAAAAGAGCTGAAGGAAATCAAGAGAAAACCGAGGAGGCGCACTTTGCGGGGAAACGCAGCGCAAATCGAAATCGGCCGAGCCGCGGGAGCTCCTCGAGAGGTCAGATGCAGAAGGTGCTCCCGTGAGCCCGCGAACTCATTCAGAAGGCACGACCCTTACTCAAGGTCCTATTCAGCTCTGGAGATTCTCGAAAAGGTAGAAAAAGAAGAGGAACAGAAAAATAATAATGAAACAGACTACGAAAACCACGAAAATACTTATCCCGCGCGGTACGTCTTCATATGATCTCGGCAAATCATGAGCCCGGGCTGCGTCCCGACTTCCGCCGATGGTTCGGCATCCACTCGGCGTAGCGGAGAATGGGCATCGAAGGCCTTACTTTTTGTGTATATACTTTCGAAATGGAGTGAGTCTATAGAAGCCGAAGAGACTTAAAAGTATGTCTAGTATGTACGCATGTGTTCGTAGTTATAGACCCGATTACCGAAAGGTGTGAACATAAAAGAAGGGTACTGCGTTGTGTACAAATGGCTGTAAAAATGAGGGCGTAGACTTCCCATTTGTCCCCTGTCTTGTTGGTCGTAATCATGTCCATCTATGCATCATATCATAACTCATATTCGTATCCTCATCAGCTTGGTAGGTCATGTACAAAGGGTCGCAAGCTAGAAGCCGTGTCCAGCAGCTTCAGCGGCGTCTCCCTCGGTCAGAGAGTGGTGGTGGCTCAAGTGCCCATGAGCTTCCATTGGCGCATATCGTGATGATTGAAACTGATGCCAGCAGCTGAGCAAAGTTAGCTACGGTCTGAGAACTATCCGGGGTTACTAACCTTGGTGCCTGTAGCACGTAACGCGCCATAGCTTCTCTAAACCGACTCTTGTATTCCTTCGGACTGGTCACTGTAGGCCGGTTCTTGCCTCCACCAGCGAATCCGCGGTCTTTAATCCAGGACTCGAGCTTCTTGTCCCAGGTATACGTACGGATACAGTCAATAACTCCAACCACCAACTCAGAGCGACTCTCATCAATGGCAATCATCAACGAGTAGTCCATGACATTCTGACGGCCCAAAAAGAGAGTATCGTTCCACACGCTCTGGCTTAGAAGCTTCTTTGAGTGCTCCCGAGCGAACAAGGGAGTCTCATAGATGAAGTCCACCATGTTCTCGTCAAGAAGAACCTCATTTCGTTCACCGGTGCTTTGCACCTTACGATTCCGCATTGAACCCTTGAGGTCGAAAATCCGTGTTGGCACTCGGTCGTAGAAAAGGTTCTCCATTAGAAGAAGGAACCAATTGAACTCGGTGTTTGTGGCAGGGTTCTTGATAATCACCTGGTAGAAGCCAAACATCTTTGCAATTGCAGATGGGAGCTCATGAAACAATGCTTCAGACATGATTTGAAAATACGCAGGAGCGAACTTCAAGAAAGCCTGTGTCTCGATGGGCGACAGCGACTTGAGAATGAACCTGTCGTCAAGAGTTTTCAGAAACAGCGAATTGGTTTTTCCTCCTTTCGAATCCCACTTGGCGCACCGGGATAGTGATTCCACGATGCGATCTGCGATGCCGCACTTTTTCCGCAGGGCGTCAAACTGTTCCGCGTAGAAGACCTTGCACAGCATCTTCGCTTGCCCTTCTTGAAACTGGTACTTGAGATGGGTGCCGGTAGACCGCAGCAGCGCATGCTCTACCCGCGCCTCATCCATTGCTTCCACGCCACGTTCCAGGTCAAGCGAATTGTCACCTGCTTCTTCATGCCGTCTCTGTATGCTAGCCAACTTCTCTTTGTAGTCACCGGAGTCTAAGGCAAATGCTATGAGTGAGCTTGGCTCGTCCTCGCGCACGATTATATCGCAGTCGGCAAAGACGTGGTCAGACATGGTGAGTGGGTAATCAAGAGGCGCCCAACCGCTGGCTGATCGCTCTGACCAAAAGTTCGTCAACAGTTTCAAGAGCGTACTCCTTTCGTGCTTCGGTAACTCCTTCAGGTCTATAGACTCATCCTCCGGTGAATTTTTAGCCAATTCGTCGCTTGCATCTGCAACATGATGCCCGTCTACTGAGGTGCGCTCTTCGTCGCTGTGCCCTTCTTCAGCCTCGGCTTCGGATATATTATGGTCAATTTCCTGAGACTGGCTTGCTGGCGGTTCAGCGGCGGATGGATCAGGGGTTGGAGGCTGTAGGCGTTGCTCCTCGTCTGACGGAGCTCTTGCCGAGTCCTGGCTCCCTCGACCTGACTCATCCGTTGAAAGTCGCGGGACCGATGAGGGAAGGTCGTCACCCTCAGCGGATGGCTCGCGCTCTTCCACTGCTTCGCGAACATTCTTGTACACTTCCACGATGGGCTTCGACGAAGCAAGGGGGTACGCACGGGAGTGGCTACCTTTAGCAGCCCTTTGGGCTCGCTCACGCTGGCGCTCTTTCTCAAATTCACGGCTCAATTGTTCGAAATGTTTGGCCAGAGATGATACACGATTCTTCTTCGAAGGTATTGAGCGAGGTATCAAAGATTGACCCGGTGTGAGCCGTGCAGTTCGGAATGCGCTAAGATTAAAGCGCTCTGACAACCTTTTATCTGAGTTTTTCGATTTGAAGTCTAATGGCGGGCTCACAGTGCCGCTAGACCTTTGGAGTTTGCCTGGACCAAGTCTTGTGCCCCTAATTGAGTCCGGCGCAAGATCCTTCAGATTCAGGACAGGCTGTGTTCGCGCGCGCAGTAGTGGTGGAGAGGAGGACTTCCCATTGAGGCGGAACGAACCTTCTGATGGTCGTGGAATGGCAGAGAAACCGTGCTGTGGCGTCGAGGGCAATCCAACAGTCGGCTGCTCAACGTCATTGCTCTCGCTTCTGCCCGCATCGCCGACCTTATCCTCGGCCACTTCTACGGCTTCAGGGAATACCTCCGGGTTGTCTCGTTCAGCCGAGGGCTTTGAAAGGCCTTCATTGCCCAAGGATTGAGGTATTTCATCCTGGGCCGAGTCAGCTAATGAATCCGCATTTTGTGTCTCAGTTCCAACTTCAGCACCCTCGTGGAGAGATTCTTGTGATGCTGAAGTGAGTTTTCCCTCTGGGGTAGGAGACGGGGCAGCTGAGCGCATTTCGTCAGCGTTGGTATGGTCTTCGGGAGGTATGGCCCTTTTCTTCTCCCCTGAATGCTCCTCAACAACCGAAGTCAGAAAATCCTGGGTTTTCTCAGGGGATAGCGTCATGCGGCGAACTATACGAGCACCATCTGGAGTCTGACTCCGCTCATTTTCAGCCTCAGTTGGAGTTGTCGGTTGTTCATCATTTGAAGTAAGAGAAGTGACTGAGGCATCCCTGTCCAGGAAAATCTTCTTCAACTGCAGAGTAGCCAGTCGTCTGATATCCTTCTCAGACGGGAAAAAGTTCTTTTCAAACTCAGCGAAGGCGTTATCCCATTCCACCACTTTTTCCTGAACGGACCTCATCGCCTTGTTCAAGGGGATGACCTCCCAATACCGAGAATTCATGTACCTCTCTTGCAATTGCTTGATCATCTGAGTGTGATGCTCGTTGGCCTTCTTGGTCATATTCTCAATCTCCACCTTACAATCCTCCACGAGATCCGGTAGCACACTTTCAACGTTTATTGCTTTTAGCCGTGCTTTGACCGAAAGCATAAATTTAGTAATGCGCTGCTCATTCTTCAAGTAAACTTCTTTCTTGAGCGTCAAGTCATTATCAACTTTCCAGGTCACTCTCGTTCTGGGAACAATGATCTCAAGCAGATTGATTGGATCATATTGAATTCGAATAGCGATGTCCTTAAAGCCAAAATAGCGTAGATGATCTCTTTGCAGGTCGTGGGGGCAGACTCCCGCACGAGCATGCAGATTCTTGCTCCAGAACGAAAGCTCAAGGTACTTGCCAAAGGAATACTTCCAGGTGCTATCAGACATGGGGAAGACTTGCGTTTCATTGCCGCATATTTTGCAGCAGCTCCACATCAGAATTGTGTCTTGAAAACCTCGGAGCTTTGAGGGATATGGCTGAGTGAAAATGCTAATCTGGGCTTCCCCGTGCACATACTGGCGATGATGCTCATGCATTCGCTTTTCACAGCCATTGGCCGTACATACGGCATTTGCGTTGAGACATATGTCCTCCACATATTGTCCGAGTGTACAGTCAGGCTCGAATACGATATCATCTCCATGCTCATTATAGAACTCCAACGCAAGAAGATCTGGCCCTGAGCATGGAACCGACGTTGTAGTACAAACAAGGCTGAACAGAATGACGATATTCTGGTGCGCGTACGGGTCGAAGAGACCAACTGTGCCGGAAATGTAGGCTTCCCACTGGCGTTTTTGAGTCTGATAGTGGTGCAGGGCTCGGTCGTACTCCGCATCATGGACTGCTTGAAGGACCTCTTTGACCTTGGGAGATGCATCTTTGGGCGCCTCGTGAACCATTTCCGGCGTTATAAGAGAGAATTTGAGGTTTTTAGTCTTCTCGTCAGTTGATTGGTCCTCTTGGGAACTTTGATCACGAAGGCGTTTGAGGTAAGCTAGTCTCCGCTCCATGGCCCTCGCCCGCATAAGAAGATATGGGGGTTCAAATTTGACGAAAGGTGATGCAGACAGAAGCTTAGTCTCATGGTCTCGAACGATATCCTCATAATAGGTCGGCATGGGAACATCATCAGGGACGTCGGCAACGTCGCTTGATACACCCTTATCTTGCTTATCAGTGACGGGTTTTGTCGACTGCACTGTCGCAGCGTCTTGCATTGTCGCTAGCGAGGACTGTGGCCGCTGGTGCGCCTCATCAAACTTTTTCTCGACCGTGGGTGACGCAGGAATTTGCGCAAATTCGTCTCTCATAACACAAGTCTCCAGCCTGAGGTTATACACAACATAAGTCATAAACTCAGTGATCCTTTTCACTTTTGCAAGTACATCACCATTACCTCCGCGAAGAACAATTGTGCACCCAAGCTCCTTTTGGCAACCAGAGATATAGATGTAGGTCTTGCGTTGGCCTCCGTAGACGTACGTTTTCACATCGAAGCTGCCGCATTCGCTGGTCACCGGGGTGGTCACAAGTTTATCCATAGAAGTGATAATTCGGGTTTGCGTGCATCGGGAAACAGCCTCAAGGACTGACGATTTGACATTGTACACGGTTGCAATCCCGGCGCGGTCTAGCAGTTCCAAAGCCAGTCCTGAAACATTCCTTTCAACCAGCAGCAGATTGGGCCGCAAGGCTGATATTCGGCTGATCAGATTTTCAAGGAACTCACGTTCCTGTCGAATGACATGCTCCAAGCTCATGAACTGCTGTTGATGACGCGCATATTCCAGGGCGAAGGCGATGATGAGAATTTTTGGCTGAATAATGCTCCGGGGCATGCTTTTGAGCGCGACATTTTTGCTGAAAACCAAGCCTGACACATAGGAGGTATCGCCAGGACGTCCACCTGGTATCTTCTTCAGTTTGATATAATGACGAATGTCCATATCGTCGCCACTCTGAACTTCCGGGTCCACTTCATCGGCTGCTTTCAGCAAAATGGGAAGAAGTGCTGTCTCCCAGCTTTGAGGATGTGGTACTGAGGAGTCATCAAGGAGCTGCCGCAGCAGTTTACGAACGTGCTGTAAGCTAGCTTTACCCATCTCAACCGGCGGTGCTCCAGAGCCTCTCATGGAGGAACTCCTAGTCATTTTGAATCCGCTAGCGTTTAGAGAAGCGGGTATAGCTTGCCCAGCATTTTGATGGTCGTAGGGGTTGAATATAGCCTCCTTTGAAGTACGAGGGGACTGGCGATGAATGCTGCTAGCGACACTGAGATTGCGACGGCGAGAAGAACGGGGTAAGTTTGCCGCTCTAAGACTGTTCATGCTGCTGTCGTCTAAGTCACGACCGGAATGGGCAAATCCGACAGTGCTCCGGTCCCCAAAAGCCGAACGGCCCTTCTTCATCGAGGCAAAGAAGCCACCTAGCATAGTTCTTTCGTTGTCAACGCCGCCTTTAGACAGTGGACCTTCTGTCGCTGCTGCTAGTAGGTTTGGCTGTTCATCGCCACTGGATGCGTCGTCGGAAAGATATTGAGCGAGGTCTGGATCTATTATGTTATCCTTGTGGAAAGCAGGAAGGCGCATCTCAAAAGGAGAGTCATCCCCATGACGCCGCTGAAAAGGAGCTCGCTCGTCGTGATAGGGTTTGAAATTGCGAATGACTTGTTGGCGGGAATGATGGCGCTTGTGTCCCATAGAATGAGGTCGGCCACTCAAGGTAGACTTTAACGATCTTGAAGACGTTGGTCTAGCCAAAGGCCGATCTGGACTAATCTCAAGAACGGCTGAGCGGCGATTGTGCCCTTCTCCAGCACGTCTTGTCGCTGGAATAGCCATTGTGGGTGTTTTGTTTGAAGTGTTAAGAGACTGGGAAATGACGGATGCTGTATCATCATCGTCCGGGCCAGCGCGTGAAGAATTCCCGGTGCTGAGCTCGGACACGCGGGGATTAGCCATTATGGGGCTTTGTTCGCTGTCTGAGAACTCAGATGAATCATCATCATGACCGTTTATCATATGCTCGCAAGGCTTGCATACGCGTATTGTTCCTGGTTGGCCAAACTTCTCGCCTGGGATCAGAAGTGTGCACTTTGAATCGAATATTTGACCACAAGTACGACAGTGATGTTTTCGCCGGAATGTTGAGAAGGGTTCCCCGCAGTGAAAGCAGTCTTTCGCATTTTCATCGCGCATCCAGAAATCCTTACTTAGTAGTCTACTTCGGAGCTGAGTTACGACGCCGTCACCTGGGTTCGGACGGCGAGATTGGTTTCGGGAAGGTATTCTGTCAAAAGCAGTATTGAGGGGCGTGATAATGGTCGGAGAGCCCATGGTAGTACTAACAGATGAAATTTGCGATGTCGGGTAACCAGGCAACCGACCGGAACGAGTAATTTGCGGTCTTTCTTTGCTGTCATTCTGGGCTCGGGACTTCAGCGATTCCTTTGACTGACCCTCACCATCGACAAACGACATAGATGTGGCTAATGTGGAAGGTGTGCGTCCTTCGACGTAATTGCTGTCTTCTCCACTGGTAAAGTAATTGACGCTATCCGTGCCGGAGGCTGGGGCACTAGTCGTAAGATCCGGCTGCATTGATACGGCCGAATTTGATCTCGTTCGGTCTAGAGGTAGGCTGCCGTCCTGTGTCTCATCAATCGAGCGCTTGGCCTTCCGACTTGAAGCCGCGAAGCCCGTGTCCACTTCACGGCCTGTGCGTCCGTCCGGCCTTCTGGAGTTATCTCGAACTTGGCTCCCGCTATGAGTACTACTAGCATCCGCCACCGCCGATCCATCGTAGGCGTTAGTATAGGTCTTTGCTTGTAAGACCGGGGAGTGTGTTCGCTGCTGACTCCATCCCGAAGAGCTCAGGGACGTTTTTCGTGGGAAGTCATCATTATCGGTGCCACTTGATTCCAGTAGTTGCAGGTCATTCAATGGTTGTGTGGTAGACGCATCACTCATGGCACGGGCAGATTCTTTGATCGCATTGACATGTACTTCGGTGACCGCCGGATCTACAGCACCAGGGTTACCGGACGCCGCGGGCAGTGAGACACTATGAGGTCGTGTGTTCGCGGACGGAGGCACCGAGGCCTTCGATGATATACTCCCGGCCTTGGAGGAGACCCTTGAGGACTTTGATGCGCCTGGCGCAATGGAACCGTCATGAGTAGACGGGTGGCTCACGGAGGTTGGAGAGTTCAGGGCTGAGGGCAAAGGTGAGCCGGGATGGTGCTGAGTGTCGAGGGATACCGAATCTGGGGTACGTTTCGTAGTCAAGCGATCCGACGGATGACGTCTCGGTTCATCTGCAGACTTCCCTACTCCGCTGACCATACCTCTCATCCCGCCAACAGAAGTCCGTAATCGACTATATAATCCACTCAAACCACCCTGGATCTCGTCAGATATGCTCTTTTCATCCACGGCCGACGCCGGGGCGGGCGGGCTAGCGAACTCGTTGAACACAGTGAGGGCATCGGACTGGTAGGCTGCTGTATGTATCTGGTCCAGAGCGGCGTTCAAACTGTCGCGTTCCGCCTGTGTCGACAAAGATGCGCGGGAACTTCGTCGACCGAGTGGAAGGAAAATAGAGGATGCCGATGGACTGGACGTCCCTTGAGATGGTTGAGGGACCATATCCGTGTTCTGGCGTCGGAGACAACGGCCAACGCGTTGACAGTTAAAGATACAGCGGCGCTGCAAAGGCTACCAGGTAAGGATCACCCGGTTTGAGTTAGTACAAAGGAGCGGTGGCGAGCATCAAGGCTAATCTGCTGCGGAGACGCTTCGCGTTCCGTGCTTCGTAGAATTTCTGTGCAAACAAGAGCCATGCAGGAGGTAGCTGTTCATCTTTCGAGTATAAGCGCTACATCGAGTATAGGGCTTCAGAGCACGGGCCCAAGGAAGGACTGAGTGATGTCGTTGACAGGTGAGGGGGTGCAGTCGAGTGTTGTTTCTCTCTCTCGAGTCCAGTCCGGCCTGGAGCCCGAGTGCCTCACTGCCTAATCATGAAAGGAGTGACGTGGGGTTGTGGCTGTGCCGGTTGTGGCTAGTGACTGTCTACGTACCGTAATCTCGGTTGTGGCTGTGACAACGCGACGACCGCGTCGGCTTCATCAACAATTTCAGCTTATCGTCTGCTCAGTTCTGGGGGAGGTGCGCAGGGCCTGTTTGATATTAATAATTTGGCTGGATACGTTGCTTTCCTCAATGATCCCTCATTCCATCGTCTTCCAACCTTCCGATGCGGAACCTCTTACAGAAAGTCCGTGACCTTCAATGCAGAATCTCAGCCAGCTCCGGAGAAATACCATGTCGCGTACGGCCGCAAATGACCTCAGAACGTAGCACGGGCTGAATATACAATGAGTTCTTCGAGTTTCTGGATTTCACCCCTCATTGAACATTGTCTTTCAATCTACGTGACGGGGCAAGACCCCGGTTCAGATTGGGAAGATGATGGGAGCAACCTTCGGTTCTCCTCCCGCACCCAGCGCTTTGCGCGGATTAACGATGTAGGTCATGGGCTTCTTGTTGCCGATAGCTAGCTAATAACTTTTTTTTCTGCAGTTGCGCAAAGTAAACAATAGTGTTCAAGCCAGACTGACCGACCTAGATACGCAAATCGATGCCATCCTGTCAAAGGAGTCGCTACAGGAATATAATAAAGAGTTTCCAAACAAACCTCTTAACAAAGCCAGCATTCTCAACTACACAATCCAGCTAGACAGTTTCGAGCTGGTGTACGAATGCTTCGCATCGCCACCTGGAGTCATTTTGTATGTCAAACGGTTCAGCATCGCATGGGCACGAGGGAAGGCCCAGGAGCCGCCGAGAGGAAGAATTGTCACAAAGAAGCCAGCTCTGGTCAAGCTGTTGAAAAGAGTGAAAACTTTCAGAGACACGCATCAAACAAGCCAAGAGACAGTCAATACCGTAGACAGCATCGGGCAGAGCAATGAACACGGTGATATTCCTTCCCAGGCAGTCAACGGCCATACACATCATGCACAGCGTCAGTTGATGTCTCAATTGCCTCCACCTGATCCTCCAAGGTCTCCTGAGAAAAGTTCAGTTCACAATGCGGCGCCCTCGGGGAAGTTGTTGGGGCTCCTCGTGCCAACACGGGGACCAGAGACTAGACAACCCAGTCGAGAAATGTCTATGGATGTGCAGCCACCACAAGCAGTAAGACCTCGCCGTACAAGTCATATATCTACAAGCAATGAGCATCGTGGATTACGTGAAAAACAGAGTGCGACAGCAGTTGGGGATAGAGGTGTACTGGTGAATGTCAGCTCAGAACCACCTGCTTCCCAGTCAATAAACCGCCAATCCCATAATAGATCGACCAAACGAACCACTCCAGCCCCCATTGCAGCGCGGCAATCACCAAAGAAGGCTCCTGAGAGATCAAAATCCCCAGATTCACCCGAGAGGCAATTGCTACTTGAAGCATCCCAGTATGCCAATCCTTGGGAAGGTATGGATGGAATCAGCAGCGTTGACGTTACGGTGCCCGCCGATCAAAAGGAGCTTCTAGAATCTGACCCAAAGCCATGGTATCCGCCTCCAGCTGGGTGCAATATAGTTTCTGGCAACGTACCTCCGGCGCTTCTAGCGAAATGGAATGACTTGGCCTTTCGCCGAACTCAGGCTGAAGCGGAGAGGCCGGAATCTGTGAATGATGATCGTCCTACAACCCCTAGCAAGCCAACCGACGGAGCGTCAACTGGATCCGTGACAGATTGGTCCTCATCGCCTGAACGGACTCCCAGCCGCGGTGTCCTGCCGACGGACAGCAGTCCAGTTAGAGATGAAGATGTGCGTATTCGAAAGTCGCGGGACCCGAGGGAGCAGCGTAACCTGGTAAAGCGCATCGATCTCGAATTGCAGACGATCGAGGAGAATCCAGTGCCCCAACTTGACAAGAATGCAGACCCGACTCAGGCAACGGCAGATGCAGAGAGTGAGCCGCATCCGGAAGCCAATACTTCAGATATGGCTGGCAATGGTGGACATATACCCGAGGGGTGTAGTTCTGACGCGGGAATGGCATCTGACGGCGGCAGTTCCGATTCAGAAATGGACGATGCGCCCGATACCGAAGCCATTGCCCAAGATATAGGTCGCGATGGCGATGGCCATGATCCAGGGCGCAGTTCTGATGCGGAGAACAACGACGCGCCAAACCCTGAGGTTATTGCCCCTGGCCCAGGTCTTCCTCTCGAAGACACTCGTGAACCCGACGGCAGTTCTAGTTCTGATGATTCGGAATGCAGTTCTGATGCGGAAAGCAACGACGCGCCAAGCCCTGAGGTCGTTGCCCCTAGCTCAGGTCTACCTCTTGAAGACACTCATGAACCCAACGGCAGTTCTAGTTCTGATGATTCAGACATGAATAGTGCGTCAGATGCTGAAGCCATTGCTCCAGGCATGACTCACGATGAGGAACATGAATCTGACGCCAGTTCTGACTCGGAGATGAGCGTTGCATATCCTCAGCCGCTAAGCGGTAGCACTCAACAAGGAACGTCCACACAAGAGAGGGTTTCGAGCTCGGGGCCAACCCTTCCTGAATCAGCAAGTCAGAAAATTCAGGTAGCTGAGACCCCAGTGGTTCGCAGCAAATCGCATCCCGCCATGTCGAACTCAGAGGCTTCAAGGACAGGTCTCGGTAACGCAGGATTCCAGTCCCAAGCTGACAAATCCTCCTCCCAATCACGCATCCTCAACACATACGCTAGCCACGAAGGAGATAGCAAAGAACAGACATCACAGGAGAGTTCTAGGTCTGTCCCAGCGACTGCACCCAACCCTCCCAATCATGTGCACGTCATGGGCACGCCTCTAAGCAGTCAAGGGCCGGCAACGCAACCCACCCCGTGGTCCGCATATACATCATCAGGACAGCAAATTGTCGATGTGGGCATGCCTGCTGCTCTCACGTATCACTCCCAATCCTCGAAAGCCTTTTCCTCCTACCGCGATATGCCTTCATCGTCCATGTTGTCAATTGATGACCCTGTGAGTCCAAGCATACGCGGCTCTGCACGAGGCACGCCCCTTAGGCATGACCGCGCATCTCCACTAAAGCGTTTCGCGTCCGACGTTGACAGTGACCACGGCTCGCCCTCAAAGCGAGCCAAGGTCGATCATGAGCCTACAGCATTCAAAGTCGAAGGTGGACTCGACGAGCATATAATTACCCGTCACCAGAGCTACATTATCAACTCAGCGCAGTCCATGGAAGCGGTGGGGATTTATCAGACATTTCGAAGCAACTACCCGAGCTACAACGGAGATTACGAGCATTTCACCAAAATGTGTTCGAGATTGCAATCTTTTCGAGAACGCGGGAGTCTGCAGAGATCCTTTTTGTGGGACGACTTTATCATCAAAAACCTTGAAACTTATCCTTCCTACCTTGCGGATTGCTACAGCAACAACATCAAGCCGTCGGAGTATGAAGAGTATTTTGCGGACACTTTTTCAAAGCCAACTTATAAGAAACGCAGGCTCGGCATATCGGATATCACTGCCTGCGCCGCACAGGTCGTCACTATTGATGAGCCTATGGACATGTCGCGGGAGCTAAACGACACGAAGGTATCATTTACGGGAAGCCTGAGAGACCAGCTTTCTAACCTCCATACGCATTCGTTCACGGCGCAAGAGCTGGCGGCTCAGGATAGGCAGTTCGGGAATGGTCAAAGTGAGGCTGATCAAGGTGAGGGTGATGCTGAATCTGCGTCGCAATATAGCATCCCTGACAGTGAACCCGCTCGTGCTGCCGCTCGGGGAGATGCCGGTCACCATGCACAAAAGGCACCCAAATTCTCTCCTGTCTTGGAAGACAGTGACGAAGACATGGAAGACGCCGATACAGACATCGACCTGGACGACGCAGCTCACGAAACGGCCAGCGTCGAGCTAGGCGAAGACGAAATCTCACCGGAGTCGCCGCAGGTGGAAAGCAAGCTTCCTGCAAAACCATTACCTGAAAGTCCAGTCCCAAACACAGAGTTCAACAAAGCAAATGAACCCGCCCCCGCGCCGGCACCTATACACAGCACGCTTCCCGCAGAAGCTCTGCCCGAAAAGCCAGCTGCTGATATAGCTCTGACCACGGCCTCGGACGCTGTCATGGACTCCGGAGTCCGAGAAACTAGTAACAAGGACAACGTATCCGTTCCTGCTCCAACTCCGGTACAAACCAAGGAGCCGCCCCCAGGTCCAACTCCAGAAAAGCTAGCTCCGAGGGCAGTACTAGCCAGCACACCCAACAAACGTGTTGAAGTCGTCTTTAGAACCCCATCTTCAGCCACAATCAACACCACCGGCAGACAGATCAAGCCTGCTTCCACCCCGACTCCATCCCGAAACAAACTCCCGGCGCACTCAACACCGCAGAGACCTGTCTCTGCTTCACGTGCTGCTCCAATCCCAGTCCCAGTCCCAGTCCCAGTTCCGAACAACGTCAAGGATGCAACCGATGTCTCGGAAGAAGAAGAAGACGCGGCCAAGGACGCCGTCTCAGACGAAGAAAATGAAGAGGATTACATAGCCGGAGATACAACGGAAACGGACGAAGAAATGGTGGACGATGCAGACGCAGAGGTAGCGGCAGCGGAAGCCGCATCTGAGGAGGAAGAAGAGGAGCCAGAAGCCGCATCTGAGAAAGAGGAGGAGCCAGAAGCCGCAGACGAAGACGAAGACGTAGCCGAAAACGCAACCGACGAAGACGAAGACGAAGAAGACGAAGATGAACCCCTCAACGAAAACTGGTTCACTTCCCTCCGCCACATCTTCCCGGCCAAACCCGTTTGGTCTGACGACCCGCACACCCCATTCAAGAAGTGGGCGCGCGCGGATCAGAACGTCCTCTCTGTTCGGAACCGGCGAGGCGGATTGAATATCCCTGTTGACGAGAAGGGGGTTATTCAGCGTATCCCGCGAGCTTGAAGCAAACGCGCTGTCGGGTCGCAGACGACGAGACGAGACGATGTGATCTGATTGAGATGAGACGACACGAGTTGCGAGCGATGGCTTTGATGAATGAACTGCGAGTTACTGGCATTTGATGATTGCGTTGTTACGCTTTTGCATTCCCTTGCGCTTTCAATATCGGTACGGTGTCATAGCGGACCTCACCCATCCATAACCCGACATCCTCATCCTTCCCATTCTTGACTTGCGATATATGTATGCATCGAGCGTTCGCCTTTCTCCCCTCTCAATCATACCCGGCTGGCCGGCTGGCCGGCTAGCAGGATGTATTTGTACCAGCTTCATCACTATTCTGTTGTTCTATCTACCTACCTGTCTATTTATCCTTCTACTTCCCGGGCTATTGATTCGCGGTACGGACTGCGTACAGGCTTAGTTAGTCTCAGCATTTTTGAGAGCGTGCAGTTTTGCGCGGACTATGATACAGAAGATATCTTCTCGGTGATACTGCGAATGAAGTCTATCTACCAGCTTCCAAGGCAATTCGGAAGTGACTATGTAGGGGAAAGTCAGGGTGTAGCTTGATGATATAATTCATTCATTCTCAAGGAGGGTATCGTTATCGTGCGTAAAACCTATCTACATCCATCCCAGTCCCGGTCCAATCCGTACCGAGCCACTAGAAAATAGATAATAAAACAAAATCGAAGAGTCTTCCAATCCGTATCCATGTCCATGCCCATCCAAATGAAATGCAATCGAAGAGATATTCCAGGTATAAATCAAGTCAGTGCAACTTGCATGATGTCGTTACTCTTTGAAGAGAAATCGAGCCGAAGACAATGTTTTTTTTTTTTTTGGGTTTCTGTTTTCTGAGTCTATGTTTAGACGTGGCGGAACGGCTCGTATGAGGTTGGCCGCTGCTGCGCAGGGTATTGAGGAGCGGCGGCCTGGTAAGGCGGGTGAGGAGAAGGGTAGCCGTCGCCAACGGGCTCGTAGGTGTAGGGGGCCTTCTCGGCGGTGATGCCACCGCGGTTACGGCCGTGACGGTGGTTGTAAGGCGAGCGGCCAGAGCAGCAGCAGGAGCTGATAGCCCAGAAGAGAGCGGCAGCTAGCGAGAAGGCCGTTGCGAGCCAAGTGGCGGCGTAGATGTTGCGGCCCATGTGTCCCTCAATTCCGTACGGCTTGATCTTGTCGTTGAACACGCCAGCAATGACGGCGAACATGGCGGTCGATGTAGCCGAGGCGGCGGCGGTGAAGAGGAACGCGGCGATGGCGATGAGGGTCGTTACGCACGAGCCCCAGCGGCTGAAGATGGCGGTGATACCGAGGAGGATCTCAAGGCCGGTCGCGGCGAAGGCGATGATGTAGGCAATGGACATCCATTTGGAGACGTTCTTGTAGACGTTCAGTGCGTCTTGGAGGTCATCGGGGATGGCGTTCTGCAGGCCCAAAGCCTTGAGGTTCCAGATTTCGACGGGGTCGAACCAGAACTGCGCTTCTGGGGAAGAGCAGTTGGAGACTTTGTAATTGTCGTTGGAGGTGACGTTGCCCTGGCAGTAGCCCCAGAGACCGATATTGTAGAAGTCAGGGATGTTGAAGTACTGCTGGACTTCATCGAGCGCGGAACCGAGATCGCCATCGTCAACGGAGATGTTGAGGTCATCGAGGACGCTGGATACTGAACTTTGGGCCGATGTGGAGCTATTTAGATCACGTAGATCGGCCTGAGAAGTTAGCCGCGAACGAAGACAACAATTGCAGGAAACATACCCTGAAGAAGTAGAGATCCCGTGTAGAATCAGTGCCACGATCGGTAGACCCCAGTCCAACGACAATCAGACATATTAAGGCGGCGATGGTGAGGACGTATGGGGTGAAGATGCAGACGAAGCGGCCGGCTTTACCCATTTTGAGAAGCTGGCTCCGGTCGGAGAATTTATGCGAGGTCGAAGTAAGGTTGGAGCTGATGGAGAGATGACAGACAATGGATAAAGATCTGATAGCAGGGCGAGAGGAAGATATTTATCAGAGGCTGGATGATGCGTTGGAAAGCGAGAGGCGCAGTGAGCGACTTCGCCTCTTTCTAATTTAAGCCCAAACAAACTCTCCCTGTGGCTGATCTTCACCCGCGCTAGCCTCTTTGGGCCTTACCACGCGTCACTGACGTCTCCAGCCTCGTTGAATTCTAGCATTAAACGGTCAATGCAGTCTAGTATGGAAGTAAGAGGTACAGATATTATGTCAAAGACAGATACTAGCTCTCCTCACACCCCAATCTACAACTGAAAGCAATGAGCACGAAGAGGTTAAGAGTGTAGGCTTCACCATTCCAGTCTTGGCGCCGTTGGATCGGTCTCTTGTAACCCCACACGCCCTGATCCAGATTTCGGGCAGAGCTTCGTAATCCCCCGGCCCGTGGTACGGAGTACGTATGATGGGCTGTCACTCGCTCAGCCCCGGCAGATTCTTCACCAGGCATCGACATTGTACCAACGCAGTAAATGCTGAATACGAGTTCCAGATTATCGCGATATCCAATTTTTGAGACTCGGAATTATTATCATACTTATCTTGCGGCTGTGAGGTCAAATCTCCGGTGCGGCTGAGCTCAGCCCTGGGAGTGGGCCTGGGCCCGCAAAATGCTGTTGTTGCCTGAAGGATGAGGCAGCGCTTTGTTTCAACACCAGCCACCTTTATCTCTCCAGCCATGCATGTTTCGTGACCTCACACGCGGCAGATCTCAGTCGTCATTTCATTCTTGACCCCTGATGACTATTATACTATCATGGCGCTGCAATACTTTTGATCAAGACCGTTCTCTGGTCTGTTCCCCCATCAAAGTACTCCGTACCGGGGAATTGCTAAGATTCGGGTTTCCTCCTCCAAAAACTCCCATCCACCATAATCGATTATCGGACCATGACCCTTCATTCAAATACTCTACTTATCTATACCATCTCAAGATTCAAGTGAGCATCAAACTCTGCGGCCATTGTGAAGAAATATACATTTATTCTCTAAATTTTGATGACATGCTTATATATGCAGCCGCAAACCCTCTAAAACCGTGTATAACTCGCCCTCTTCGGCGTCAACCTCAACATAATCGCATCGGTATCCCGATCCCCCTGCCCCGTCGCGCCCTGCCCACTCTCCCCATTCGCATTGCGATGATACCTTTGCGACGACCCCCCAAACACCGTCGCCAAGTGGCGTTTGGCAAACGGCTTCAGCGCCGGCACACTCGCACACAGGATCCCCGCATTCACCTCGATATACGACCAGTAGAACTGCTCCGTGATGTCCCACGTGTAGTCCGGCGAGGTGAGCGCATCGAGCATCTGCAGCGTGCGCTTGATCGCGATCGCGCAGACGAAGATACCCGAGGAGAAGATCAGGACCACTGAGATCCGCTGCGCCAGCCGCATGTTCAGACGCATGATCACGGGGATGGGGAGGAGGAGGGTCGCGACGTCCATGAGGATATTTGCGACGCTGAGGACCGTCATGATGGTGCGGGTGTCGATGCAGGACCCGCTTGTTATCGTGATGTCCCAGTTCTGGGCGATGGGGTTGCATCGGAAGAGGAAGAGGAAGGTGTAGACGAGGACGTAGCAGGTTGTTATGCCCATCAGGGCGAAGGTGAGCATGCGGAACCACTTCTGGGGCGAGAGGCGGAGGTAGAAGGCCAGGATGGAGAGCTTGGAGAGGACGACGGCCCAGGCGTAGAAGATTGTTGCGACGAGCGTCCACTGTTTTTTGTTAGTTTGTGGAGAGAGAGAGAGAGGTGCACTTACGACGCCCAGGCCGGGGTTGTACTGCGCCATTGTTACGTTCCACATGTGTAGGCCTACGCCGGCTTGCATGACTATTCGGTACATTGTGAGTATATACCGATATTTCGTCAGGGGCAGACTAACTTTTGAACGATATTGGTATCAGTATGATGGAACACACTACAGCACAGCAGACAAAGACATCGTCGAATTGGAACCGCGCCGCCGTCAGGAAGAAGCGCGTATACAGACGAAGCGCCACAACAGCCAAGGCAATCACCGCGGTGGTGATAGCGCACGCCGCCATGTTGGCCTGGATAGAGTCGCCCTCGAACCGCTCCACGCCCGCCGGCGGGTCGGCCATGTATGTGGTTTCTGGAGAGGCCATGATCGTGAGGGAAGGATGGGCTTCACGCCCGCACAAAAGAAAGACACAAAATGAGCGACAGAGTACAAAGTACGAAAAAAACGGAAGGAGGATCGGAAGGATTCCACGACTACGGAGTGGCACACACGACATGACGCCCTCGGTACTTTATACTACGGCTTACTCACTACACTAAATCGGCAGAGCAGACAAACAGCCTTCCGCAGACGATAGGTATAGTCTATACGAAGGCCGAGGGGCACGACGGATCGTGATCCCAGCACGGACTGACACGGTGCAGCTGTCAAAACCGATCGGCACCGTCTAGTCGGGTCCACTGGACGGCCGTTGACCTCTTATCGGTTTGATGCCAGGCTTTGGCCCGAAGCGTTCTGCGCCCCTGACCGGGGTATGAGCGGCTAAGCGAGGCCATGGCCAGGGTGCAGGCACTAGGCAGGGGTTGCTCGGCCGATGGTATCAGGATCAGGATCAGGATGGGTCTAGCTGTCTGCACCGTGGCATTGCATGATTACCCTGGTGAAGAACAGGATCGGGGTTCGGTGCTGGATTTCGTCTGATCTGATGTTGTCTTCACTCATTTCGTACTTCGTAGATGACAGAAGAGAGTTCAACGGCTGGCTGGCGGGCCCGGGAGAGTGACAGGCGAGGTGGAGATGCGCTGCAGTGCTAACAGTTTGTGGAAGGAGTCTACGGAGTACGGAGTAGGGACACTCGACCCACATCCTCCATGCCATGCCAGTGACACCATCTCCAAGTAATCTACATCCCGCTGATTGGCACGCCACCAACCTGTTTGCGACTTGGAGCACAGAGGAAAGAAACCCGAGCAGCATGGGTCAGGGGACCGGGCCGCAGTGGTGTCCATAACGGTTGAAGACGAGACTTGGAGTTGATAGTCTCTGGCATTAATAAACCCGTAACTGCTCTCCTTTCGGCCTTGATTCTGCCTCGAAATATTCCGTTGCATTGAGGTTTGGGGGCGAATATGGCACTGGAAACAGTCATCTCACTGTCCCCTGCGACTCTCGCGGCGGGCGCTGCAGTACTGGTCTCGGCGTACTGGCTTGCAACCTATGCCTACCTCTACTGGCTGCATCCTCTTTCCAAATACCCTGGCCCACCCCTCGCAGCCGTGTCAGAGCTGTGGTATGCATCAGCGTGGACGGGCGGTTTGTGGAATCGCAAGATCCAGGAAGCCCATCGCCGCTACGGCGACATTGTGCGCATCGCCCCAAACGAGCTCTCGTTCGCAACAGCCCAGGCCTTCCGCGACATCTACGGCGCGCCCACCAAGACGCGCAAGCTGTTCCCCAAGTCCGATCGCTTCTATGACAACGGCCACCCCAACATCGCCTTCGTGCTTGACCCGGAAGAACACGCCCGCCAGCACAAGGTGTTTGCCCCCCAGTTCCGCCCCTCCGCCGTCCGCACCCAGGAGCCAATCGTACACTCCCATGTCGACCTTTGGGTGAAGCAGATTGCAGCCCGCGGCCGCGACGGGACCATTCCCCTCGACATCTCCAAGTGGTTCGAGTGGTTGACCTTCGATATCATCGGCGAACTCACCTTCGGCCAGTCCTTCAACGCCACCCGCGACAACAAGAGCCACCCCTGGGTCTCCATCCTCCTAGACGCAACCTACAGCGGCTCGATCTTCAACCTGCGCAAGCGCCTCGCCTTCGTCGGCCCCCTGCTGCGCTGGATGCCGTATATCTCATCGACCGCCCGCGCCGCAGTCACCTCCATAATGCAGCACGGCGCCATGACGCTCGCCCTAACCCGCAAGCGCATCGAAGCGGGCCCCGCACGCAGCGACGTCGACGACTTCCTCGCGCACGCTATCCGCGCAGGCTGGATGTCCGATACCGTCCTCGCGAACCAGGCCATGGTTATGCTGACCGCCGGCGCGGAGACCAGTGCTACGGCTCTCACAGCCGCGATGTGGTACCTCTCGCAGCCGGCCCACGCACACTGCCTCGAGCGCCTGCGCTCCGAGGTGCGGACCACTTTTGCCAATCCCGCTGAGGTGACCGGTGACGCGACCGCCCGACTCCCCTACCTCAACGCCGTGCTCGAGGAGACGATGCGCCTGTTCCCTCCCTCGCCCGTTGGTCCGCCGCGCGTTAGCCCCGTGGGCGGCGAGACCGTCGACGGCACGTTCGTCCCGGAGGGTGTGTATGTTTCCGCCGATGTCTGGGCGATCCATCACGATGGCCGTACTGTGGGCGAACAGCCCGATAAATTCAGGCCCGAGCGCTGGTGCGATGTTGGCGCCGCGGCGAAGCCGTATACAGTTCCTTTTAGCATCGGGCCCCGGATGTGCATTGGAGTTACGCTTGCGTGGGTTGAGATGCGCATTGCCTTGGCTAAGGCGGTGCTTGCTTTTGACTGGGAGTTGGCTGAGGATGCGGTTGGGGGGAGTGGGGATTGGGTTGAGGAGGCGAGGCTTAAGCAGTTGTGGCAGAAGGCGCCTTTGAGAATGCGCTTCCGGCCGGTTGGGAGGTGAATTTCTGATGTGTCGGGCTGTATAAATTGCAAGATATGTACATAGGTCTGGGGACTGGGTCTTGCTTGTACATAGTACCGTATTGAGAGGCAGATAATTTTCTTGAAGAGCGTTGACTTGGTCAAACTTAGGGCTCTCCCAGAACAAGTAGGCTAACCACACAAGCTAGCGGTCCCTTGTATACCGTGGAAGACATGTCCCAGCCGAAGGCTATTGTGCCCTATAACCTAAGGCATGTACGCCTCCAACGTACTCAGCATCCCCTGATACGCAACCCCACCCGTCGGCTCCATGCTATACATATAATCCCCCCACCAAGGCCCAGCAGACCACCACAGCGCGCCCAGCCAAACATCCGCATTCTCCTTCAAATCGTCCAACATCCCCGTAATCGCCGTGCGGCACTGCTCATTATCCCCGCCCGCAAACTCGCCCAGCACGCCCAGCTTGCCGTTCTCCTTCAGCCACTGCGTCGCCGAACTCACCCTCTCCGCCCCGATCGTGCTCGAAACACAGGTCTCGGAGGTGCCTGAGCCGTCGGAGTCAAGGTACTGGTGCATCTCGTAGACGATCTTGTCCTGCGGGTCTGTGAGGGATTTGAGGTTGTCGTTGTTCTCCGTCCAGGTCCAGGCGCCTGTGTATGAGTTGCCCTCGACGAAGATGTATTGGGTTGTGGCGCCTGCGGCGCGGATGCCGTTGATGGCGGCTTGGTTGAGGTTCAGCACGAGGGTTTGGTCCATGTCGTGGTATTCGTTGTCTGTGGCTGGTTAGTATCATGTCTAAGTGCATCATGCCTTGGTTTGTGGGCAGGCATGGTGGTTGGGTGGCGTACTGGTGTCGAAGATGACGTTCTTGTTGTCTGCGAATTGGGTCGCTACGTTCTGCCACCAGGTTTTGAAGTCTGAGGGGGTGCTGATGATCTCGCCGTTGCTGGTGTCTGTTAGAGTGGCACATATATAGGACGGACGGGGACATACAATCGGCCGTAGTTGTGGGGGTCGAGGATGGCCCATGCGCCTGCGCTGGTGATGGCATCGACAACCTGGTTTGTTAGAAGGGTAATCAGCTAAGGGTGACGGACGTACAGAGGTCAAGTTCTGTAGGTATCCCTCGTCGAAGGAGCCCGTGATCTCGGGAGTCAAGCGTTCCATAAGGAAAGGGATGCGGAAGGAGTTGAAGCCCTTGGAGATGAGGGTCGAAATGGCTGAGGTGTCGGGGAAGATGTAGTCGGTGTTCTGTAATGCATTGTCAGTCTACTCCGAAGCAACGACTCCTTGAAGACATACCCAGACACCGGGGATGTTGCTCTCGCCGAACTCAGCACCGGACTCGCTGACACCAAAGACTGTTTTAGTTAACAAAGTGGTTAAAAGACAGAATAGCCCAGAACGTACAAGTAAAGCCAGAAGAGCGCTTTTTGAGCTGGGGAGCAGCCATCGCGGTACCAGCCGCGGCGGCCACCAAAAGAGTGTTGAGCTTCATGATGAAAGTGAGAGAAAGAACGGAAGAAACAAAAAACTGGATGCGTCAAGCAATCCGAAAAGAGTGGCGATACTTTCTGGCAGGGGAGAGCATCTTGAGACGGGCGAACTGGCTGTTTTAAATGCCAACTCTCATGCCCCGAGCGTCCGGACGTCGGCTTCTAGATCCAAATCCAGAACGGACTTATTGGACCATGACCCGCATGTACGAGGCAAGACAAGCTCCAGAAGCTGTCAAAGTGAAACACTGGAAATGTGGTTGTGGATGAGGCACAAGATGATGAAACAGGACGGGGCCGTGTCCACTTTGGAAATGATTGGCCTGCACCGGGCGCTCGACTCAGTATTCATGTCCTCCCGCTTCAGATATCATCATTTGCTTGACCTGAGTGATTTCCTGGTTATTCAGGGTTGAGCAGCTAATCTCGCTTAGGATGCTAAGCATTGCCTAGGGGCCTGGGGGTCCTGTGGGTAGATGGATACTCCTTAAACAAGAGGACATCCACGGGAACACGATGTTTTACCGGACTGCCTTGTTTGCCACGGACAGGTTTCCCCGGACAGGTTTCCCCGAAGAGGCCAGGCAGAAGTGTTGCGGCAGAGGATGGGCGGAGTAATGGTTGTTGTACCAAACATTGTTTCAACCACGGATTTCAAGAGAAAAGGAGCTCAATTCTAGATCTCAGTTCTATTCTTTTGTATATACAAGTCTATCCATTCCACCGCTTGAATCAGTCATATACAACCGCACTGCCTAAAGCTCAACAGTAAACAACTCCATTCCAACTCCACAAACAAACAGCTTCAACTCCCCGTTATCACGAACAACATCCAATGCCGAGATGTCTGCTACAGGGCTGTACCGGTTTAGCACATTGTGCACCTGAACCCCATCCAGGACCGGCCGATCTTGCATGTCAATAGTCACCCGCCAGAGCTTGACGCGGTGGTCGTTCCCAGACGAGGCAAAGCTTAGCTGTACCTTTCCACCGCTGCGGGTCAATGACTCTTCGATCGCCTTGACGGCGTTAACTGACGCAGTGTGTGCGTCCGGGATTGTTATTGTTGCGGTGCGGTCTGCTCCGCTATCTGTGTGTAGCAGTGTGAGCGTGATGGCATTGTCGTCGCCTCCTGCAAGTAGCAAGGTGGTGGTGCTGGACAGCTGGACCATGTCTATACTCTTAATGCAATTCGAGTGGATTTGGTGCCTGCTTTCGCAGGCGATGGCCTCTTCCGTGATGGAAAGGGAACTGAGCGACTGTTTCAGGCGCAGCGGTTGGTCGAGATGGTAGGATTTCTGTAGAACGGTGGTTATGTCCCAAAGCGTAAAGTGTCCGTCTGTCGACGTGGTTACCAGACACAGCGAGGATGCGGTTCTCAGGAACCGCACCTGAGTGAGGCAGTTGCTTGTGTATGTGCCGCTGGCCAGGAGCGTGAAATAGCCGTCGTCGTTGACACATGACAGATGAAAGACCTTGATTGTGGAGTTGGAATAGGTCAGGCAAAGCAGAAAGCTGGCTTCAGCTTCGGAGTGTGCATCTTCCACCTCTAGAATGTCGAAGCATGTCACGCGGAGCTCCGACTTGGGATGACTCTTCGGACACCAGCCCTGTAGAGCTGCGGCCAGCCCGAACAATGGAATGGACCGGATTCTCCACACGTAAAAGTCTTCCATTGCGCTGCTCGTGAACAGGAACTTTCCATCTTTGGACCACGCGATATGCTGCGGGGCAGAGTCATGTGCTGTCAAGACTCGCTGTGTCTCTAGTGCTCCCCATGGACCTGGCCGCTGTGGCGATTTGGGCGCGAGGATGCGCAACGTAGTATCCTCTGAACCGGTAACGAACATGGGGCTTCCGTTGCCGGGTTGAACTGTGCCCAGTGCTTTGATCTCCCTCCCGTGTGCGCCAGCGCGTATCGGGCTTGTAGCCTGGGCATTGATATGTGTAGCGTTGAAACCAGCCTTTGACCACAGTAGCAGACCCTCGCCATCTCGTTCGCTAGGATGGAATGCCCAGCGCCTATGTCCACCGCCACAGTAAATCTTCGCAATTTCTGATTGTGTAGACTCATTCCAGACGACAAAGCCCGTCCCGCCAAAACCGTAGAGGATGAGATCGTTGGACTTGTTAATGTAAGCGCCCTCGACGTTGAACCCAGAGGTACTGGGAGAGTGCACAGTCCGGAAAGACACGGCGTCTCCAGAAACATCCAGCACGTTGACGCGGTAGAATCCATCCCGACCACACGTTAAAAAGTATTCCGACGGTGTACTATCCGTGGTTGACAGTGAGCTGAAAGGAATGATTCTCGTCAGCCCATCTTTACTATGGACTCTGGCGACCTTCAAAAGAGGTTCGAGTGGCCCGGTCTGTTGCACTTTATACACCACGAATGAACCGTATCTGGACCCCAGACCAAGATACTCGTTGTAATGGATTAGGGAAGCGCTCGAAATGTCGAAGCCTTGCGGCACGCGCAGCGTCACCCTCTCCACACGAGGTTCCGTAGCAGAAAGATGGACGTGGAATAACTCCGCCGTATCCAGTTTGGTGTATGTTGCTAAAAACGTTAACACGACGCACCCGTCTGCTCCTGTCCGATAATCTAAGAAGTAAAGACCAACCGGTCGTTGGCCTGTTGTTGCGACACTAGTCAGCGACCTCGTCTTATGATCATAGAGTCGAATAAGACCGAATTTGTTTCCAAGCAAGGCAACGCCTTGGTATGGCAAACCTGCGATGATTGTATAGAAACTTAGGTCTTCCTCGACAAACAGCGTCTCGCAAGCAATACGTCGGTCTGCGGTATTCAGAGACTCGGCCCATGCAAGTTGGACTTCGCCACGTGTGGTTACTGCGAGAAAGTAGTCTGGAGTCACAAATTCGAACGCTCTCAACCCGCCACCCTTGGCGCCTTCCGAGCCTAGTGTACCGGCGAGGTGAGTAGTGCGGTTGGGGCATACTATTTCTCCGGTCTCCTGGACGAGTCGAAAGGTCCGTACAGCTCCATCGTTTCCTCCAGTGTATATGGTAGTTTCCGGACCGACGGCAGACATACCAAGAGACCAGATGTGCTTACCGCTGTGGGGACGAAGAGAGTACGTGTTTGTTAGTTCATATTCAGGTTCAGACGACTTCCAGCCGAGATCCCACACCAGGCACTGCGCATCCTCCCCTCGAGATACCAAGCTGATCTTGTTCTTCCTGAATTGGTTTGCAAGAAAATGCACGCCCCAGATTCGAGCTCCGTGACCAAAAGCACTAACAACGCAAGACTCCGAGTTCAGCTCGCCACTCTTCGCTTGGCCAAAACCAGTGCCGCGGAGTTCGAAACCATCCGTTGAGTATGCGGGCGTCTGGTCTGGAGAGGCATTCTCACAACCCGATATATCCCAAATGCGCACGGTCCTATCATCACTACAGCTCGCCAATAACCTTCCCGGAAGATCATCATGGAGATTAGCAATCTCTGGGGATATCTCGACGTCAAAGATGGACCCTTCGTGGCCGGTAAAAAAGTGATGTATGGCACTGACTGCATCGGCAGCAGAGCCTTGATTACTCCGGATAAAGCATGACCAAACTATGATCTCGCCAAAGACGGTCCCAGCTGCCACCAAGAGGTTCGTGGGGGAAACCGGAACGATTTGGGCCGAGTATAGGATAGACTTGACTCCCACCGCAAGCTGCCGGAGATGAATAATCCTCCGGCCAGACGCATCTTCCACCACAGACATGCCCAGAACAGCATTGTGCGCTGTAACCAGGTACGCCGCACTGCCGTCCGTGCTCGGGCACCCGGCCATAATCCAATCCGGGGCTGAGTACTCGGAGCTTGCAGCGGCCAAGGACACGGTAGGCTCTCCGGACGAGCTAACTGAGTAGTTCAACTCAATGAGTCGTAAGGATTGGCCTCCCCAAGCAACAAGTTGAACATGGCTTGTTTCTCCATCTTGTTCATGGAGGACTGTATATCCGTGAACGTGGTTGATGTTGAATACCCTTAGGTAGGCCAGCAGTCTTCCGCTATTTTCCTCGACTAGGCGCGCAAATGTCCCTTGGCCCAAAAGAATGAGTCTGGCCCCTCCAAGATCAAATACCTCTAGTGTGGTGACAGGGAGGCAAGCATCAACGTGCTAGGTCGGGTTAGTACGCGCAGGAACTGTAGAGCCAATACCTACCTCGAGTGAGGAACCCATATCTTATAGCAGCGAGCCACATCGGCTCACCTCCGCAGGTCAATTACTCGTAGAAAACCTCGATGTTCCCCGCATAAAAGCCCAAAGTCACAAAAATCTCCCGATAAGAATTATGTAATCTTCTTATCGATAAGGCTCCATATCCGGCTTAATTGCCACGTGATCTCGTGCTCCTCGTGTCCAGTGGCGACGCGGGGGTTTCTGCCTTGAATGATCTCATCCGAGCCTCAGCCGTGTCCTCGCCCTGGCATGTCTCCTGCCTATACAGACCACTTCTCTGCGCCTAGGCGAACATGGGTGTCCAGGGACTTTGGACTATCGTTCAACCGTGCGCCCGACCCGTGAAGCTCGAGACACTCAACAGGAAACGACTCGCCGTCGATGCGTCTATTTGGATTTACCAGTTCCTGAAAGCCGTGCGCGATAAAGAGGGAAACGCGCTCCGCAACTCGCATATTGTTGGATTCTTTCGCCGAATATGCAAACTCTTGTACTTCGGTATCAAGCCCGTCTTCGTGTTTGACGGTGGCGCCCCTGTCCTGAAGCGACAAACCATCGCGAACCGGAAAAAAAGGCGGGAGGGACGCAGGGAAGATGCAGTGCAGACGGCTAGCAAGCTTCTGGCTGTGCAGCTGCAACGCACTGCCGAGCAAGAAATAGCCAAGCGCAGGAATCGAAGGCAGGAGCAAGTGGAGGAAGTCCCGGATAATCCTGTTTACGTTGAGGAGACGTTCATGACTGAGAATCAGAAACAACAGTCTCGGACGTTTCGGAAGAAAGATGCCTATCACTTGCCAGATATGCAGGTCTCCCTCCACGAAATGGGAGCCCCGAATGACCCACGTATTATGTCCCAAGAAGAGCTAGAAGAGTATGCGCGGCAGTTTCACCAGGGCGAGGACATCAATCTTTACGACTTTTCGAAGATCGACTTCGACAGTCCGTTCTTTCTCAGCCTTCCGGCTACCGACCGGTACAATATCCTGAATGCCGCGAGACTCCGCAGTCGATTGCGTATGGGTTACTCTAAGGAACAGCTGGATACTATGTTTCCGGATCGGATGGCTTTCTCCAGATTTCAGATCGAGCGTGTTAAGGAAAGGAACGATCTGACTCAACGCTTAATGAATATCAACGGTATGAACGGTGATGAGGCATTCTACAATTCCGGCCAGCGTATTGCTGGTGAGCGTGGAAAGGAGTATGTGCTTGTACAAGACAATTCGGTCGAAGGCGGCTGGGTACTAGGTGTTGTGGGCAATAAGAACGAAGGCCGGGAAGAGAAGCCTATCGATGTTGATCGATACTTTCGCCATGAAATCACGCCAGAGCCCGAAGCTTCAGACGAAGATGGTGGTTTTGAGGATGTGCCCATCGAGGGTCTTAACCGTCTTCCAAAGCTCTCATTCCTTCAACCAGGCGTATTTGACGAGTCGTTGAGACAGCACATGCAAGGGTCCGAGGTGCAGGATGCGGACGCCGATGCCCTCTTTGTTCAAGACCATGATCATGCTCAACGGCTTGACCAAATCTTCGAGGGTGCTGCGGCAAGTGACGACGAAGACCTTCAACGGGCGATCGAAATGTCTCTACAGCCTACAGATCATATGGACCACGACATAGACATGCCAGAGATTCCTGTGAACCGGGTTCCTTCGCTAGAACCACCAAGCAAAATGGCAGCTGAACCCACTGCAGAGAGCGACGATGAATTGGATTTTGCAGCAGCTGTGGCTCAATCGAAAAGGACCAAGGCGCCTCCCAAAGCCGCTGTAAGCCATTCCTTCGAGGGCCCCCTACCTTTTGAAACCCTCAAATTGAAGAAGCCTTCCAACGTCAAAAAACCGCAGCCCGTCGAACCAGATGCCGGTGGCTTTGAAAAAGAACCCTCAAAGGAAGCCAAGGAAAGCGTGCCTCTTCCGCCCTGGTTTTCTGGACAGCAGCAAAACTCCGACTTTATCGCCGATCGAAATGATAATGACTTGGAAAATTACCGCGACAGTGTCATGACGCCAGATCATTTGTTTTTGAGAGACCATCGATCGCCTAGTGTCATAGACGTCGACAAAATGCCTGAGAGCAAAGTCATTGATCTCGACCCAGAATCAGAAGCCGATGAAGCTACCCCGGGGCAGGCAGCAGAAGTGGAAGAAACTCGGACGCCCCCAAAATCACCGGATGTAGGGTCACCGAAAGCTGTGACCTCGCTAGGTTCTGAACGAGATGCTGAGATTTCGAAGCCCCTACAATCGCGGGATGTAGAGTCACCTAATGCTGTGATCTCGTTAGGTTCTGAACGAGATGTTGGGATTGCGAAGGACGAAGCGGATGCCCTCGAGCAAAAGCTGACCGATGGTAAGACACACGAGCGGTCTCTTTCGCCAGAGTTTGAAGACGTCACAATGGAGTCGGAGAACCCCACCCCTGTTACAGCGATACAACAGACTCCGGAATTTGAAGACGTGACAATACCGTTGGAGAATGTAGTCGCCAGTGAAGGCGAGAAGTTTGAGCAAATATCGCCTGCGTTTGAAGACGTCACTATACAAGAAGTGCCTAATACGCTTTATGATCAGGCCGAGCTCAGTCAAACGATTGATATGGACGATGAAGGCTTCTCTGATCCAGAAGACGAGGAGCTCATGAGGCAGCTCGCGGCTGAGGGCGAGGAGCATGTTCGGTTTGCGGCAACTTTGAATTCTACTTCTCAAAATGAAGGCACGTTCGATTACGAGCAAGAGCTCAAGCAACTGCGCTCACAGCAGAAGAAAGACCGCAGAGATGCGGATGAGGTGACGCAAATCATGATCACGGAATGCCAGCAGCTGTTAAGTTTGTTCGGATTACCGTACATCACAGCGCCCATGGAGGCGGAGGCGCAGTGTGCGGAACTTGTCTCATTAGGGCTTGTGGATGGCATTATCACTGACGACAGTGATATATTCCTGTTTGGTGGAACTCGCGTCTACAAGAATATGTTCAACCAGAGCAAGTACGTTGAGTGCTACCTTACTACGGACTTGGAGAAGGAATATGCTCTCCATCGGAGGAAACTGATCAGCTTCGCCCACCTGCTTGGAAGCGATTATACAGAAGGCATTCCCGGCATTGGGCCAGTGACAGCCCTGGAGATCCTGACCGAATTCGGCGCCCTCGAGGAATTTCGAGACTGGTGGACTCAGGTCCAGACAGGGGCCGACATGTCCAACAGCAGCCATGCGGCTTTTTACAAAAAGTTTAGAAAACAGGCCACGAAGATCTTCCTGCCGCCCTCCTTCCCGGATACGCGAGTTGACACAGCTTATCTCGAGCCAGAAGCGGACAGGGACCCATCGGCTTTCCAATGGGGTGTGCCCGATCTACATGGGCTTCGGAATTTCCTGATGGCGACTATCGGTTGGAGTCAGGAACGGACCGATGAAGTACTCGTGCCTGTCATTCGCGACATCAACCAGAGGGAGCAAGAGGGAACTCAAAGTAATATCACGAGTTTCTTCAGTGGCCCCCAAGGAGCAGGAGCGTTTGCGCCACGCGTCCGTTCCGGCGGCCAGAGCAGAATGGAAAAGGCTTTCAGCCGGCTCCGACGGGAGGCTGGAGCCGATCAGGATGCAGAGCATCTTGATGCCGGGGCAGAACCTAGCTCGAAGGATCAGCCTGCCTCCCGGTCCCGTCGGAAGGGAAAGGGTACGGGGAAAGGTACCAAACGGGCAGCTGCACCACAGGACGCCGCAGAAAACGGCCTGGGCACTATGAGTGGTACGAAGAGACGAGGCCGGAAGGCAGCAAAGACATGAGGCTAGATACAGAGTAGATGTGTTTTATGTAATAATCGCCAGGATAGATGCTGTGACCCACCGTTCGTGGCGGTTGCATTGATGATTGAGCCAAGTGCTCCGCGATCTGAATGGTTAAGTGGATCGATATAGATTCTTCTAATTAAGCTTAGTTTCGATATCAAACCCAGATTCGAGAACGCCATGCTTTTCACCGGCTTGTCTATGGCCCATGTCCACATCCTATATCTTTGCAATCCTGAAATCTTGCTTTGATTAAAGAGCAGAAGAGCATAACAAAGAAAAAGCACATGTCGATCTGCAATTCCTGCTCAGTCTCGATCGATGATCTCACTGTAAGCCCCTTAGAATTTTTAGAGTTGGGCCGCAGCCCGTATAGCAATGACATCACCGATGACGTACAAATCTGCCTTCCAATTCCCACAGTTCTGAAGCATAAAAGCACTCGATGTTCGAGCAGGCCCCCCTGCATGATCTATCTGGTTCCTCTCGATCGAAAATCAATTGCACATTCCACCAGTCAGAATTTCACACTTATTGGAGCGGTTCCAGCTGTCCCAGACTGTTGGTTCTTATTAATCGTTTTTCATACCTCGATCTCCCCACAGCATCTGAGAGCCCGTGACCTCCGAATCCGGCTAGCTCCTCCCGAGTCTCGACGTCACCGAGTCTCGAACTCCTCCACCTTGATCGACCGACGGCCTCCTGAACTGGATCTCCAGCCTCCAGGGAAAGATTTCCCAGCGTCATCAACTCAGTCGTTTCTCCTCCCTTCTTAAACCCCCTACAGCTCCGCCTGCAGTCTCCCGGCCCTTCCGCTGCTATCCGGACGACCTCCTCATACCACACCACGTCACTCCTGCGCAAACCAGACTCAAGGAACCCAATTCCTAGTCTCATCAGCCGAATCTTCTCCTTTCTTCGTCGTTCGCATCCTCAGGTGTCTCACGGCATCTCGAATCGCAGAGCCTCTATTCAAACCATTCAGAATGCATCGCACATACTCTATGCGCCAGTCGCGGCTGCCGACCGCCTCGCAGATCGAGAACCCCCCACCACCACTGTCCTCAACCAAGACAAACCGATGGATGGGTAAAGGTGGTCTTGGTGAGTTAATCATGTCTTCTGACATTCGTCGAAAAGAGCGCAGACTAAACGACGTTAGGCCACGCCTTCCGCAAAAATGCCGCCGGTGCTTTCGGGCCTGACCTAGCGCGCAAGCTCTCCCAGCTTGTGAAGATGGAGAAGAACGTCATGCGCAGCATGGAGTTGGTCTCTCGGGAGCGCATGGAAACCGCGGTATGTACTTCTCTATGTCTAGGACGACCATCATGCTGATCTGTTTAGCAACAACTCTCCATCTGGGGCGAGAACTGCGACGAGGACGTTTCGGATATCACGGATAAGCTGGGTGTCTTGCTCTACGAGGTAGGGGAGCTGGAAGACATGTACGTCGACCGTTACGACCAGTACCGTGTCACCATTAAGAGCATCCGCAATATCGAGGCCTCTGTCCAGCCTAGCCGTGACCGTATGTTATCTATAATCTTACGCGGTGACGTAAACTAATATGGCCCAGGCAAGCAAAAGATCACCGATGAGATCGCCAAGCTAAAGTACAAGGACCCCAACTCCCCTCGCATCGTTGTCCTGGAGCAGGAGCTTGTCCGCGCCGAAGCCGAGTCCCTCGTCGCCGAAGCGCAGCTCTCAAACATCACCCGTGAGAAGCTCAAGGCTGCGTTCCAGTACCAGTTCGATGCTCTTCGGGAGCACTGCGAGAAGGTTGCCATTATTGCCGGTTACGGGAAACACCTTCTCGACCTCATCGATGACACTCCCGTCACACCCGGTGAGACCCGCCAAGCGTATGATGGCTACGATGCCAGCAAGGCGATCATTCAGGATTGCGAAGACGCCCTCGCCAACTGGGTTACGTCCAAGGCTTCCGTCAAGTCCAGCCTGTCTCAGCGATCACGTACGCTCTCTCAGCGCCGTCATGACAACATCAACAAGGGTCGTGAAAATGGAGTCGACCTCTCAAACCAGGACCAGCCCTTGAGGGGTGACCGAGACTCATGGGTGGGCGCGGAGCAGCACCCTAGCTATCACCATGACGACGAGGAAGAGGCCAGCGATGCCGGTGACATGCGCGGCCGCGAAGAAGAACGGGAACCTGTCCCCGTCTAAACCTACTCGGTTGAACGAGTGGTGCGCAATGATACCGCCAAACGATACATTGGTTAATCGCTTGATGCTCTTGGATTCCTTAATAATTGTACGAATGACTGTTTTCCCGTTCGAAATTCGGGATTCGGATCGGCGTCTGCTACGTGATGATGTTATTTATTTACCCTTCTTGTCTGTCTGTTCTGGACAGATACTACCTTACCTATTACCCCTTCGGTTCTGATAATGCTTTACTTGCTTCTGGCAATAATCCACCTACCAAAAATGACCTCCCTAATTCAACATGTTCGCGTGTAGTGCGGTGCTGTATGACGATATCATGGGGGTGAAGTGATCATCTGGGGGTCCCCTAATCTACTTAATCAGCCTGATCAATGTAATATTATGGTCATAGCATGTCAATATGAGTTAGATTGTTAAGTCTTATATGTCTTAGAGTGAGATCTACACTTTAATACGGATAAACAGGTTAAGGTAGGTTAGAATAGGGTATGTCTCCGGACAGAATAACCTCGAGGTGTAGCTGGGACCTCCCCAAATTTACCTTGAATGAGAGACTCGCCCGTTTCTAGATGTCACCCTACCTCTTTCTACGAGACCTAGACAAATGACTGGCGTTTCAGAGGTAACCTTGTTTTTGAATTGAGAATATGGTTAGCTGTAGGTCTCTTTCTCCACAGTACTTGCCATCATGCATATATGTCATCAGCTTCGGTTCTGGTCTCCGATGGCTAGGCTGTAGAATGCGCTACGCTAGCGAATGTCTAGATCACTGTATATGATTGATCATCTCTTGTATACTGGAAATTATTGAAGAAAAGAGGCGAGAAACAAGACAGAGTGCTCAATCGCTTGACGGCCCGCACTTTTTACCCCAGAACCTCCACCAAAACCGGATTCCCAATCATAGAGATCTTCCTTCAAATCACCGCCAATCAAGCAGGTATTGCTTTCATGGCAAGCGCAGCAACCTTGCCTCTGATTACTTCGGAGTTCCTGCAGAAAGTGCAGCGTGATATCGAAGTTGTACGTAGCCTGTAATCAAGTCTTCGTGATAGGATATATAGCATGAGCGCTGTTCGAGATTCTATACTGCTGTTCTCTTGAATCTTCTCACACAACTAACAATGCTGAAGCATAGATGGGTTTGTGACGTATCCCCTCCCAACCTCTCAACCTTAGGTATACTAGGTAACCTGTTTATGATAACATCAAAATTGCCGCATATTGCTAGTAGCTCGGCCTGTGAATCAATGAAGAGAAGGTACACTCAGCCTCTGACAGGCGATCACAGTGACCTAGACAATACCAAGATCCCATAGCCTTCGGCCAATACAGTAGTTTGTCCGGGTCTGGGCACATCCAGGGTGTCACGTTCGCGGGAACTATTTCCGGAGGATCGAGTACCGGTGCCGGCTCTGGTGTGGGTTCTTCTTGTTCAAGCAGCTGAGATGGTCTCTGAGTTTGGGGCAACTGCTTTCCTTCTGGCTTCAGAGGCAGGGACCCGTCAGTGACAAGTTACAACCGGTGGTTCTTTCCGGCGGATTGTTTGGTACTCCCTCGTATCTTGTGAGTCAAGTCCAGACACAGTCACACTCCATCTTACCTGCTTGCCTCTTTCTCACTTTCCACTTGCCTCTTCTCACACCCACTTACTTTTTCGCCATGGACTCCCTTCGATCGATTTCGGACTCTTCTGAATCTCTATGTCCTGGTCCTCTATGTTCTGATTTCTCAAACTATGGGGTTTCGTCAGATGATTCTATATATGGGGATCCACTTGCGCAACTAGCGAAGGAAGTCAAGCAGGAGCCGTTCACCACCAGTCAGAACCTACGAAAATCCTTGGAGCAGAGGCACCGAGATCTTTTGCAAGACCGAACCCGGGATCAGTACCTTGCATTCTCTTCTGTCACCCCGGCGCAATCACACGAGATCAGCGATGATCAGTCCCGAGAAAGCAAGTTTTGTCGTTTTTCATTCAACACAGAAACGGGAATCCTGGTTGCTAAAGTCATGCCGAGCCGTGCTCATGGACTAGCTATAAGATCATTTGATTTCCTCATCTCTCTCGAGCTGCTCGCGATGAATGTTTACGACGACATGAGGCCCTTCGGGTCAACGACAGTCACGGTCGGAAACTGGACGAAAGAGGCGGACAGCTGCTGGGCCCCGGCTTCAACAGATACAAAACTGAGTTTCGTGGTGGAGGTAGGGCTCTCTGAGTCTTCACGGCGACTGGCTCTCGATGCATGCGGATGGCTTGAGAGACACACATCTGTCAAGCTCGTGGCTACCATCAGTCTTAACGGCGAAACTTCTGAGATCACCTTGCGCCAATGGGAACGGGTCAGTAGGTCATCCTCGCCTTCTGCGAGTTGTACTACATCTCTCAAGATATTCCGAACCAGCAACACGACAGTCATCACTGGAGAGTCGTCTTATAATGGCGTGACTACGACTACAAACCAACTCCAGCTTCCCTTTGAGAAGATTGTGGGTCATCCCTCTAGACAGCCATTGGAGAGGGATCTGGTCATACCTGCACAGAAGTTGATAGTCTTCGCGGAGAAGATTTGGAGCGAACAAGGACTTCTACCCCGATAAGGGAAGACTGAATCATGTCAACCCATCGATACCCCTCATCACTGAAACAACACAACACTCTAATCCCATTTATATCCAATCATCTCTCTTTTTCCTGAATCGAGAAGAACCCCTACCACTTCATGATCAAGAGAAACAAAATCAATATAATTCAAAGAATGACAAACCCTGTGTTTTTACGACCAGAGACGAGTCCTCGTCCGAGCAGCTGACTTTATCTGCCCAGGGAGTTTTATACTTCCAAGCCAAAGTGAAGGACGCACTGGTGAAGCACTGCGAAGCTGAACAGGCGGAAGGGACGGAGAGCTGGCTAACTACCGCGAGTTGCAAGGGTTCTCGAGTGCAAGGTGAAATGGAGTTCTGTACTGGATTGAGGCGTGATCGGGATGCTGGGCTGGCTTGGTACTAACGCTCGCTGTGTACCTAACTTGAGTCCTCTGATAGACTATAGTAGGGTATTTCCTTATATCCAACGAATAGATCAAGGTCTTGAATGGGCCTCTTCGTGTCTGATCAAGGCTCAAATCTGTCCTGGCCATTTCCCTGGTTTATTGTCAAGGTTAATGCCATGGAAAAGAAGTGCAATTGTCACCTCGTAATCTTCTTCTCCGCTTTTCAGACGATCTGGCTTGTGAAGTGCTGACCCAGCTTCTAGAAGACAAGCGAATGCTGTCATGGCCGAAACCCCGTTGGAATCTCCGCGACTAGAGACGTGGATTGACCGTGCGTAGCCGGTTGTTTTACGTTGTGAACAGCGAGTACGTTGAACCCGAACCTCTATCTAAGCTCAGTCCAATTTATTATGCTATGGAGGATAAAGTGCGATGAGACCCATCCTTACTGCAATCAATGCACGAGGAGAGCATACGACTGACCCGGATACCAGCGGCCGTTGAAGTGGTCGTTTGAGGACGAAGTCCTTACAACAAACACTCTGACACCAGACCTGACCGTGGACACCTTGAGTTCCATCCAAACCCGTGCCTGTAGACCTCTGTTTATATACCTCGCGAAAGCAGGAACTTTGGCCCGCCAGCGATCTCTAGCGAAGAATCTCTCAACCCTGACGACCGGACCATCAGCGTCTAGCATTCAGAATCAGCTCATCGCCGATCTTACAGGACACGCCCGGAAGACCGAAGCCGCACTCCTACAATACGAGATTCCAACCCGGGACCGCATCCAAGCCGATTAGCCACGTTCAAAAAATGGCCCAGATCCATCGCCTTGCGGCTCTACTGGAGATATATATATAGGATTTCCCCTCGCTTCTGCAGACAGAGAAAAAATACCCCTCTGCGATCGGCTCCTCAGAGACTGGAACAACTCGAACACCCCCTCGAGAAACCAAGCTGCAAAGTCAAGCTCCTTACCATGGCAACAGCCATCTTTGTCGTCCGCGAGCGACTACGGGCTGTGCATAGCTACGTGGGTTTTGCGTATGTGACCCAGGCAGCGGATATTCGGGAAGACGATTGGGCTCGCGCTGATTTCCAGGCGGTTGCTGGCGTTTCGGATGGAGAGACTGAGATTGAGTTTGTGCAGTGGACAGAGATTATGCTTGGGGGAGAAATTGGAGACGCCAGGCGCGACTTCAAGGCCGCACTCTTCACTCACCTAGTAGAGCGTGTCTGCAGCCAAAAATTGGAGCCACCCCTTAATTTAATACTGCCGGTTTTATTGCCTGGACGTCACGTGTAGGCCTTTACCAAGCTAACTAAAAATTTAAAATTAGGTGTAGAATAAAGATATTCTTAACATTATAATAATTTATATAAAAACATAAACTTAATATATTTACTTAATATTATTATTTACTACTACTACCATTACTTAAAATAAAAAGAATAATACTATTTGCAACCGCCTTAATAATATATATTAAAAAAATAAGCTTAGTTAATATAGTTAGTTATATTTACTAAGGTTTAAAGCTTTATTATTATTTTAAATTTAACCTTAATTAGCTGCCGCGGGAGCGTTAGCTTTTTTATTTTTAATAAGTAAAAGGTACATAGTTTTATATAAAAATTTTTAGTTAATTTAATATAGCTTTAATATAAGGGAAATTTATTAGTTCTTGCCTTTTTTAAAACTTGGTTAAATTAAATATTAATATTATAATAAGCTAAATTATAAGCTTATAATATACCTTGTTCTTGCTTATTTCTTATTTTTATATAAAATAAAAACCTTAAAGAGCTTTTTTAAATAAAGCCACTTATAGCTTTTATTTATTTATATTAATACTTTAACTTATATGGCTTGGCGCTTTAAAAAATTTTTTTACTAGTATTATTTTTTAATTTATATAAAGGCTTATAAGCTAGCCATGGCTTATAATTTTAAAATATAAGTTTAAGGGTTTATAAATAGTACTTTTAGGCTAGTTTATAAGCTAAAAAATAACTAGGAGTTTTATTATTTAAAATATAAAAAATAATATAATATAAAGTATTAAGGCCTTATAATACTTAATTGTGAGTCGCGTTTGTACACTGCGGTAAGCTTAGGAGAACATGAATTACTGCAATAAAAAAGGCATTGTATATTTATAGTAGGAACTAATTACTAATTTTTTAAGTTAAAGTTTAAAGTTAAACTTAATATTTTATATATTATGTAACTAGCCGCTACCTTAGCGCGTGGCTAGTTTAGCGCTAATATTCCTCCGCCCGGCGGCCTTAGGCCGCCGGATTATATTATTATAATATTATATAGTTATAATACTATAATAGTAATAATAGTACTTTTTTTTTTAAGTAATCACGCTCTTATAATTTATAAATTTATATTTATACTTTATAAAACGTGATTTAAATTATAGATTTTATTAAGCGCTATAAAATAAGCTATTTTTAGGTTTATAAAGTGTTATAATTCGCGTGCAATTTATATTTAAAGTTAAGTATAAAAAATTAATTTAATTACCTTACTTTACTTTTAAATTTAAATATAATATTACTACTTATAGTAGCTAGGTATAATATCTTAATTTTAATACTAAAGCGCCCTTGCAATTTTTTTTTTTTTTTTTTTTTTTTTTTTTTTTTAACTTAATTAAAAATGCCTACCGTGAGTATACACCTTTTTATTATATTTTTATTACTTTTTAATTATTTAATTATATTCCTAGGGTTAAAATACCCTATATTTATTTTTTCCCATGCTTTTTAAGTATTATATTATTTATTTTAATAATATTAGTCTTATATTAATATTATTAAGCTTATATATTTTATTTTACTCCGTGCTTAGTTTTTATAATAAAGCTTTAAGTTTTAAATAGCTAAATTTTCTTATTTTTATGCTTTTTTTAATACCTTTAGCAGCTATTTATAATATATAGTTATTTTATTTTAATTATTAATATATTATTATATTAGCTTTTTATTTACCTTTTTTTTATGTCTTGCTACGCACTTGCCTTTTTAATTTAGTTAATAAGCTTTTTATATTTAGCTTTTATTATTTTTATGTTTTTAAAACTATTTTTAGTAGTTAAATTAAATATAATTTACTTTTATTATAGCCTTTATTATACCGCGTGTTTTTAACCCTATTTTTTTTTTTAAGGTTTCCCATGCTTGCCCTTTACTTTATATTTTTTTTACTTTAATATTTAATATAGTCTTATATTATATTTTAAATACTATTATTAGTAATTATTTATCTTATTATAGTGTTTTATTTTATATTTTTTTATTATAATAGTTAAGCCTTGGTTTTAACTTTTACTTTTTATTTTATTTTTAGTATATAAAATTATATTTTCCTACCCTTTATTTATATATTAATAATTATTAACATGTTAACTATTAAAATTACTTAATTTTAACACTTGCGTGCTTTTATTATTATTATTACTATTATTACCCCTGCTGCTACCCCCGCCACCCCTGCTAATAGGGCTTTTATTAATATTTTTTTTTACCGCCCCCGGGCTTTATAGCTTTACTACTTAATTTTTATATTTTATAATATATTATATATATTATTACCATAGGGCGCTAAAATAAAAATATATTTACTATAAATATTATAATAAAAGCCCTTACTTATAATTAAGGGGGTAAAAAGTACTAGTTTTATTATAATATAAAAAGGGCGCTTTTAAAGTATATAGCTATTAATATTACCTTAGTAAGTAACTAGCTATAAAATATTTTTAATATTATTAATATTATATATATAGGAGCTAGCAGTCTGCAAGCTTATAAAAACCTTATTATTTTAAGGGCGGCTTATTAAGTATTTAAAATAGCTATTAAGTAAACTACCACGGCTAATAATATATAAGTAGCTAACCTTATAAATATTATTATATTTATATTTAACTTTACTTTATAGGTTAGTACCCCCCTTAATAAAAATAATAATTTATTATATAAGTTAGTCCCCTTTTTATAGTATTACTATGTTCTAGTTTATTAATTTATTATAATAATTTTTTTTCTAGTTTTTAAACCTTTATTTAGCGCTGCTTTAATAACTATAATTTTTTTTTATATAAGTGCGGCTTTAGCTACTAAGTATATATTTATATATTTTAATTTACACTGCATTATATTACTAATTTTTTTTATAAACTTTTATTACTTTTAGTACGGGGTTTACTGCGCCTTAGCGCTTTTAGGAATTTTTATTAAAGTTACTTTTATATTAAATATTAGTATTAGCGCCCTTGTGGGCTTAATTTTTATTTTATATATATTAGGTGCCGCGCGCCGCGCGGCTTAGCCACTTATTTAAGTTTTTTATTATTTTTTATTTTATTTTATGTTTTTATTTTTTTTTTTTTTATTAAAAGGCCCTGCGGGCGCCGCTAATTAGCAAAAATAATATATTTTCTTTTTTTTTTATAAGTGCGCGTAGGTTATAAATATAAATATTTATATTTAATATTTTTTTACTTTACATAATTTATTCTTGTAAGTTTTCTTAAAATCTTTAAGTATTATAGTTTTAGTTATATAAGCCTTTAATTCCCATGTATTATT